CGTTGGCTCATACATTATATATTTCCACTCAAAATCGTTTTCACTGTATTAAGGTAAGTAATTTATTTATCAATAGATCAAAATTTAAATCATTCTTTACAGGCTATTCATTGTAATATTTTTTGGGTTTTGGATTTCTTTTGTTAATTTTTGGGTGTTTACCTTTAAAGTTCTTAAAGAGTATTAAATGTTGAGTAGGTTATTAGTTATCACTAGTACAGCATACTTACGATGTACGGTGGCATTAAAAAGTTTGGATTTCCGTTGGGAAGTACAAATCCAATTTCTAATCGTTTCATCTGTTGACATATTATTGGTGGTGGAGCGATAAAAATGTTCTTCCAATATTCAGGATCCATTTCGTTAAATATCTATATATTTTTAAAAATTTTATATAGCTATTATGAAATTTATTTCAAATCAATAGTAAATTAATATAGTAAATATTTTATACTTGTAAATCTTCTAAGGAAGGACAGCCGTAAAATAAAAACCAAGTTTTGGTTTCTTCCATTGGTGCTTCCATCTTTACTGTTTTTAAATATTCAAATTTTCCAGTTGGTTTTAGATTTATATAAAGTGACACAAAGCCAATATCTAATATTATCAGATTTGGACAACCACTTTGTAATAAAGCTAGATCAAAACTGATATCTAAAGACTATAAATAACTCTCATTAGTTACATAATATATAATTATTTTTATAGTAAGTTGTATAATTATATAATTATTCATCAAAATAAAATGTTGTTCGATAAAAACACACATTTTGTATTACTTTTATATGGCAATGATAAATTATAATTGATTTAGGTAAAACTAATTAAATTAATATAATTTTATATTTTATATTTTAGAAACTATGAAAAATGTACTATATAAAATAAATTTAAATTGCTTGAAAAATACAAATAGATGATTTGTGTAAAATATTGCAATTGTGTATTATAGGAGAACATAAAAATAAATAGATAGGTTATAAATGAAAACAATTTATATTTTGTGAAAGGATTTATGAAATATATTTATAAGATTTGAAATTCCCAAATCTTTTATTAAAACTAAATTACTAATGTATGGGTATAAAATGCCGAATCCATAATTTTTTCCGCTACAAATATATACTATATTTTTCCTCGCTAATATTTAAAATATTGTAAACTATACAAGTAAGACTTCGACGTAAGTAAAACTTCGTATTTAGAAAGGTGATGTTTGAATCGAATTTTACCTTGTTTATTTTGAAATAATGAAATAATTCATCGGTATATAAAATAATTAAATGCACAGCCTATCAGCCTACATATTACACATACTTTGTATTTGTCTATTAAAATAAAGTTGTACTTAAATGTTAACTTACAACACTTTTAATTGTTAGTTCAGAAAGATTTTGAATGTATCCATTTCTACAAAACAATTGAAAGTATTCAATTGTATTTTCTACGTATAATGTCAACGAATTCAGTTTATTCCAGAACTCCATTAATAGTTGGTGGCTTATATTATTTAATTGTTCATAACTTCGCGTTAATGTTGTATTAAGATTTTTTAAATGTGGTAAACATTCACTCATAGTTTTTATTTCATCACAAGTTATATCCCAATCAGTTAAAGTAATCGATTCTAGATTAAATTTCTTCGGCTTAATTATTTCATTCCATACGGTCATAATTATTTTCTTTATATTCCTTTAATGAAAACCAAAACTATGTTCAATAATGTATTTAATTAAATTTCAAATATTTATTTGGATCTTGAATTTTTTTTATTTTGTATTTTATATTAATAAATTTAACCCATTAAAAAAAAAAAACACTAGTTATAAGTTATATTATGTACATTGTACACTTATTATACGTCATAATATACCATTTTCCGGGCCATCCGAGATGTTTTAGGCTCTGGATACAGGATAAAATAAAAATCCATCCTATATTATTATCTTTAGTGTACTGCAATCGTATTTCTTCTAATGTAAAACAAACTGTGTTTAATATTTCTCGATTTTCAACTATACATTTTAAAAATGCGTATACTTGAATCTCTGACCCATTCAGCATATCATTTTGAAAGGTATTTAGCTCCTAAAAAATCAAATTTTTCATTAACTTTTAAACCTATAATATTGTATGCAGAGACATTTTAAAATACAAATAAAGATTTATGACAGATATTTTGATGACGGAAAAGAACTAGGTACATGTGTATTATGTACTTTAAATAAAAAGCTTTTGATTCCACCAGTTGTTATAGTTGATGAACATGAAACATCCAACATTTTTAAACATTTTGAATTTCGGCCAATAGCAATTAAAATTGAATCGTCACATTGATAAGTCAGCTGAAGTTGCACTAGATTACTTGCTAAACCTTCCTCAAAACACTTGCATAAAATATTCATTGAACATTGTATACTATTCATACAGACATTCCATCTACTGCAATTTTTCTAAAACCAGTTATTAAGTTGTGAAGTAATATTATTATGTTCATAGAGTTATCTTGAACGTTTCATTGACGCATTATACTCACATAAACGTATACGAGATTCATAAATAGTTTGGTAATTTTGGGTCGATACGTCCAAAGATATGACACGAAAGACATCAACAGTGGTAAATCTTTTTCCAAATCGCTAATACATATAGGTGGCACATACTTGATTGTCTTGTCAAAAAGGGCGACTGAAAACGGTACCCAACAACTAAGTGGGTAAATGGGTCTGCATATTTTACCATCATATTTTGAAAAGCTGGTGGATTTTAACTGTTGTTTATTAATTATTCTACTTAATACTTTAACAATATAGTTTCATAAATTACCCGTAGCATAAGAGATCTGTTCTTAAACTTCCTGGTAAATGTTCTATAAAGAACATTCTCCATTTGTATGCTTTTTCTTTTATACTCTCTTCATTTAGCATGAGAATTTCGTGAATTTCCCTCTTGGCTAATTCTTCTAACGATACTACATCACTACAAAGCGGCATAATGTAAGTAATGCGATAAGCTACGAGAAAAAATATACACAAAACATTAGAAAATATAATATGTTTATTATAATAATAATACAGTTTGTAGTTTATTTATAATAATTAATTGTAGCCAAAACATAATTATTATAATAGACTTATATATTATTCTAGAATAAAAACTAATTTGTAAGTATTACCTATCAATATAGTTCACTTTATAGTATGAAAATTTAAATAGTTAATGCAATATATTATAGTTAAATGGCTAGTGAAATTCGACTATAATAGTAATAATAATAATAATACTAATTTTCTTTCTATTATAATAAATTAGTATCTAATTACTACGACACTTTTGAAGTAGAAATGTGACATATTATGTTATATTGGATGTCAGAAAAAAAAGTCCTAGGAATAAGTCTCAAGAAAAAAGTCTTGGGTTTAAAAAATCTATTTTCCTAAAATTTTCTTTCATAGAAATCTTCTTGAGATACTCTTTCGTTCGAAAAAAAAAAATCAAGAAGAACTGATAAATAGTTCCAGAGTTTAGCCTGTACAGATATTTCCATTTCACATTTATATAGTTAGATAGGTATATTGTTGATTTTAATATTATAATACAAAATCGAAAAATTATTATACTTGATTACCTATAGTACCTATAGGCTATATTACATATAGATTCGAGTTCAACCAATACTTTGATTTGTAGTGCTGTGCACTTTTTACAGTAGGTTTTGTTTTAGTTGTTTGAGTATTAACCCTAAGAAAAAAAATTATTTTTATCATTATCAAATTAAAAGAATATGTTTGACTTATCTTTCATTTTGAAATAATTTAATCTGCTTCTTTTTAAACTTCGAATGAATTAAATAATGATTTTATTAATTATTGTATTGTTTTTTATTTATAAAAAATATAAATATTAATACAACTTTTAACAAATCAATTATAATAAAGAATTAAATGTAGCGTTTTAATTTATAATTTAAAATGTATATGTAATGTAAATAAATAAATCATTGACCCTTAAAAAGTGTCAGTGTCTTGTACCACATCAGAAGATATGGTGTTCCGGCGCCGGGACGGAACAATAGTAGACCGTGTGCCCGGTTAGCGCTTACCTACTTCCGCGCAAACTCACACACCGACCGACCTATTTATCTTTGTGTGTATAATGTGTCTAGCGACTCAAGAGAGGTGGACGGGATCGCCGAGCAAATCTCTGAGCGCTAGGTAGTGTGTGGTGAGTAGGTGTGTATGTGTATGTACTTATGTTAAACTAATAATAAAGAATAATAACACGGTTCTTAACAATTGATAAATGGTATTGCTGTATTACTAGTAAAATCCTTAAATCGATAATAATATTAAATTCACAGCAACACAACAATACAAATATGATAATAATAATAAATACACCGTCCTTTTAGCCAGACAGAATAGTATAATAATAATATGTATAAAACTCACGGGTTTTCGGTGCTCTGCTGGCCAGCCGCTACCTAAGCTATAATATGTATAATAAACAATACAATAATAAATAATAACACAATTTTTGATACACTTCACAATTCAAAATAATATAACATTGTAAGGTATGTGAAATAACAGTTGCGGTTAGCGCATCTGCATAAAAATGTAATATAACGATGTACACAGCCGATAATACAATAAACAATGATGATAATATTATATAAGTGGCGATTCGCGCCCACGACTTAGCACAATATTATAAAAAGGACGATTCGCGCCCGCGACACAGTAAAATTACATAAAAAGGATGATTTGCGCCCGACAATGACTTGCAGAAAACAATTTAATAATTTAAAAAACCGGCGATTCGCGTACGGCAATGAATCGTGGGTTCTTGGTTGACACCGCTTAGCGAACTGATACGTGTTCGGGCGGCTGTGCTTTTAGTCCGCGTTTCTCGCGGCGAGCAGTCGTCGACCGGTTTACATTAGTATAGGTAATCTACATTTATATAATACACAAAACAGAATGATACAATAAAACAATTTAACAATAATAATATAAACACGACACTGTGCTGTGTGTGTGTGTGCGTGTGTGATGCGGTCGGTGGGGAATGTCACCGCGCATTCGGGCCTCAACATTCTCCCCCCCGTTGAAAATGTATTTTTCAACAGTCTCTTCTGACACAATTGGGAGTCTGCAAAGGTTTGCGACAGGGCGGCGGGTCTCTAAGCCATTTGCCATGTGTATGGTTACTACCCTGGTTCTTCCGTCTGTTCCCGGATGCACCTGCACTATACGGGCCAGCCTCCATTTCATCGGTGGAGTATTTTCCTCCTTGACGATGACGATATCATTCACCTTAAATGGTTCAGCTCCTGAGGTCCACTTGCCTCTGGTCTGTAGCTGCGGGAGATACTCCTCGTGCCATGTTTTCCAAAAATCTTGCATAAGGAATTGCACGAACCTCCATCTGCGTAGCCCATTTCCTTGCTCTTGAGATAAGTCTGGTTCCGGATACCTAAGCATTGGGCCTCCTATAAGGAAATGCGCTGGAGTTAGTGGTTGCAGATCATTAGGATCATTGCTCATAGGGGTAATAGGCCGTGAATTGAGGCATGCTTCAATTTGGCATAATAACGTTTGTAACTCAATGAGTGTCAGCTTGGTTTCCTTCAGAACACGTGTTAAATGATATTTGGCACTCTTCACTTCACAACCTTTCCCAAAGCCCTCCAAAATGGGGTGCTGAAGGTGGATTGAAGCGCCATGTAAAACCTTCATCAACTGAGACGCCTTCAATATTTTTGAGATAGGCTGCTAACTCTCTTTGAGCGCCGACGAAGTTTGTCCCATTATCACTCCATATTTCAGTTGGTTTTCCTCTACGAGACATGAATCTTCTTAGTGTCGCGATAAATGAGTTGCTTGTTAGGTCCTCTACCACCTCAATATGTATAGCCTTGGTGACAAAGCAAATAAAAAGCGCTATCCAACTTCGCTATGCCACTTCTTATGGTCAGGGGTCCGGCAAAATCTACTCCAGTTATAGTGAATGGCCGAGAACACTGTACTCTCTGCTTCGGGAGTGGGGCCATCAAGGGAATTTGAAAGGTAGGTTTGGCTCTGGTGCATTGGACACAATGTAGTGTAGTTGAACGTGCTACTAATCTACCCTTAAGTGGCCAGTACAGGTTGCGGATCTCTGAAAGTAGGAGTTGTGGTCCGCAGTGAAGCATTTTCTGATGGTAAGTTTGGAAAATTAACCTAGTGATTTTATGGTTATATGGCAGCACTACTGGGTGTCTTTGTTCCCTTCTCAAATTTGAATTTTGTAAACGACGTCCAACTAATATTAACCCATCTTTCAGGAATGGATTAAGTGTCTTCAGCGGGCTGTCTAGTGCAATGTTTCTTCCTATGTACAACTGTTTCAATTCGTCATGGAATGCGTCGTTTTGTGCTCTTTTTAAAATTATAACTTCGGCCGATTTGATCTCCTTTAGTGTCTGGAATCCTCGCACTTGAGTTGACCTCTTGTTTTTGAGGTAATTGGAAAACCGTGACAGCCAAGTAATAGCACGAACAAGTGACCGCCAGTTCGAATATGCGTTGATAATGTCCATTAACTCCTCGATTGCAATCGAAAACCAATTTGACTGGGCGTTGTTCTGGGAGTTCATAGCATGGTGTTAGTTTAATTGTTGGATGTGACCATTGCGTTTCAGGTAAGCTGAGATAGGATGGACCATTCCACCACATCACACTTCGTGCCAGCTCCTGTGCGTCAATCCCACGGGATATTATATCTGCTGGGTTATCCTTGGTGTTTATATAACGCCACTGAGATACATCTGTTCCATCCAAAATTTGCTCTACCCTGTTGTCAACATACGTCTTGAGTCTACTTGATTCACTATTCAACCAACCAAGCACCACCATAGAATCAGACCAAAGTTTAAATTGCTTTACATCTATACCCCAGGACTGCGATATTCTAACAGACAATTGAACGAGTAATAGAGCTCCACTCAACTCTAGACGTGGAATGGTGGCACTTTTTAATGGGGCTACTCTTGTTTTTGAACAGAGAAGTCTTGATTGCCATTTACCTTCTTGACCAAGATATCGTACGTAGACACAGGCGCCGTAAGCCTCAATTGAAGCATCACAGAATCCATGTAGTTCAAACATATCAGCCGTACCAGGTTTGACCTTCCTTGGGATGGATAAATCCTTTAAATCTTCGATTTGCGTATAATACTGTTGCCACCTTTGCTTTATGTCGTCTTGGAGTGGCGTATCCCAATCTTTTTTAAGCTGCCACAATTGCTGAAGGAATATTTTTCCCTTTATAATTACCGGGGCAAGAAATCCAAGAGGGTCAAAAACCTTATTCAGATCCGAAAGCAACGTTCTCTTGGTTACCTTTTCGACGTCAACCGTTCTGGTAACATAGAATCGGAAATCATCTGCACATGGCGTCCAACTTAGACCTAATGATTTTATGGTTTCGTCGTCTCCTATATCTAGTCTCTAACGTCCTTTCCTATCTGATTTAAGACTTGAGAAGAATTAGAGCACCATTTACGAAGTGTTGATCTTGCAGAATCTAAAATTGAGATAATTTCCTTGTGCAGTTGTACGCATTCCTCTTGGGTTTCACCGCCAGTCATGAGATCATCCATGTAGAAGTCTCGTATTATGGTCTCAGAAGCACGTGGTAATCGTTTTTTCATGTCTTGTGCTAGTGATATTAGACACTGCGTTCTCATAAATGAGGCTGGAGTAGTACCATACGTTACGGTGACCAGCTGATAGGTACGTAGGGCCTCGCTTGGATCGCTGCGCCAAAGAATCCTTTGTAAGTCCCAATCTTGCTCAGAAACGGAAATTTGACGGAACATCTTTTCAATGTCCGCTGTGATGACATACTGATGCTTCCGAAATCTAGTGAGGATAGAAAAGATATCATCTTGTGTTGTTGGTCCTCGCATTAGAACGTCGTTAAGGGACAGTCCAGTAGTTGTCTTGGCTGACGCATCAAACACTATTCTTGTCCTTGTAGTTAGACTCGAACTCTTAAATACAGCGTGATGCGGCAGATAAAAGGCACGTTCAGGAATCCTTGTTTCAACCGGAGCCAAACGCATGTGACCCATTGCCAAATATTCCTTCATAAATTTTAGGTACTCTGTCCGTAAAGTTGAATCCCGTTGCAACCGTGCTTCAATATTCATGAATCTAGAAGTAGCCATGTTGACACTCTGTCCCAGATTTTGAACTTCCGACTTCACTGGTAGCTGTAGCACAAACCGACCTTCGTAATTCCTTGTAACTGTGTTCTGAAAGTGTTGCAGAGCTTGTTTTTCCTCGATTGTGCGTTGGTTTGCCTTAGATGTTTTTCCATATGAAGCATCGGTATCTGGTGTCGTGTTCATATTGATGAGACAAATTTGATCAATTCTCCCGGTTACAATCCAGCCGAATTTGCTATCTTGTAGGGTTAGACTGTTGGTCCTTAGTGAAATGCGCTCCCTTTCCAATATATTATAAAATATCTCTGCTCCTATGAGGAGGTCTACTGTTCCGACCTCATAAAACTTGGTATCTGCTAATTTGGATATTAAATCATGAGGGATGTCCCAGCCACCCCTTGGTGTTGGACATGAAGGGAGATCGCCTACCACTGTTGGTAACACGTAAAACGGTAATCTTGCTTGGAATTTGCTGACCCTTGAACCCACTTGAATGTTTACTAGTGCTACGGACTGGATTTGACTTGCTCCCACACCTCTGATTGGCAGTTGAGTTTTCCTTGTAGGAAGTTGCAGTGCGCTTAAAAGACTTCTGGAAGCAAAGTTTATCATGGACCCACTGTCCAAGACTGCTCTGCATTTACGTTTTCAGCCCTTACTGTCAGTCACCAATACTTCAGCAGTTGATAGAAATATATGGCTACGCTTTGGTCTGGCTGCTATGTACGAATGAGCTTGTATTGAATCGCTACCAGATTGCTCGCTGTTAACTGGATCGTTCTCATCCTGAGGTTTCCCTCTGTGTACTGCTCCCGAAGTTCCACCTTGACTTGATTTTTCAAAATGCAACAACGTATTGTGCTTACCTCTGCAAACTTGACAAGTGGAATTCGATTGACACTGGGGTGCCATATGATATGAACTCAAACAATTGAAACACATCCGAGCAGACCGTACAACGTTAAAACGTTCTGACTGGGGTAGGTCCTTAAACTTTTTACATGCATAAATCCTATGCGTTTGAGAGCATTTTAGAAACTTATACTGAACATTTTCAATTAGACTGGTATAAGAAAAATAATGTGGAGACCAGACAATTGATCCAAATTCAAGATGAGACCTAACCAGGGAAAAATATAAAGTTTTTAAGGCATTGGTATTTTTAAAATTTATCGTGCTCCTATTAATAAAACTATTTATACACTATTTATATAGTGTAGTAGGTAATAAATGGTTGATTGTACATATTTTGAACTAACTACTATAGTTTTATATCATTATAAATCACAATTAATAGAACAATTGGTGTTTTAAATAATGAGTATTGTTTAATGTTTCATAAGCTAAATAAGAAAAGTACCTAATCTGCATCTTAAAATATAATATATATTTTTTGTTATTATATCTCCATAAAGAATATAATATAGAAACACCAAAATAATATTACAGATATATACCTATAATTCTACATTTGTTATAACTTATAGGTAAATGTTCGTTTGATAAAGTAAATAACCTTATAATCATCACTATCAATAGACACTTCTCCATTGACCAATTTTCTGTTTAGGGCATCAAACTGACTGACTGACTGACTTGACTAATATTAACTTCGTTACCACTCTGTTCATGACGTTTCAAATCTTCACTGAGCAGCCGATTTTTGACAAAGTCAACGGTTATCTTTTCACCTGATAATGTTTTTATTGCAGTTACAATTGTGTTATACGATTCTGGATGTGAGAGAAATAGTAGACAGGCAAGCAAGTCATCTTCTAGCTTACTTGCAGTAGATTTCACTTGACGTACCATATCGTCAAATTTACAAAGATGTGTTTCCATAGATTCACCATCAATATACTTCAACGTTAAGATCCTCTTCAAAACTAATAATCGACTTGTGACACCTTTTTATCGACTGCCGACAAATACCTATAACACGGCATAACCGTTACTCGTTGATTTTTAGTTTTTAATATATTTTCTTACAACTAAAATGAAACGTAAAGAAAGATCTGGTACAATAGACACATTTATTCAAAAAAAGATCAACAGTGTTTCAACTGTTTCAGGTACATCAAGTGAGTACATTGAGTAAAACAAATCTTAAAAAAAATGTATTAACTAGGTAGGTAGGTACCTATGACCAAACACCAGTATAAAAACATATTTATTACTTGTTCCTGACGTTCCTGTATGCGAAAATAATTCCGTTATTGACGACAATATTAATTGTATTACACAAAGTACTAATGATGATACTTTAGAAAATAATCAGACATATTATGGTGAGTACTTAGTAGAGTACGTATTATGTTGAAAGTAGGTATTTAATTTTTGTGTGGCAACTAAATTAAAAACCGATTTTATATCTGTACAATACAAATTACATAAATGTACTAAGTACATAGGTTATAAATTATCCATTTTTCATATATATCATAATCTGTGTGTTCAATTTTAAAGGTAACAGGAAATATTTCGATCGTGTGACCTTGAATTTGATTCGGGGTTTTTATACTGCATATAGGACTTATAAATACATATTTTTTTAATAAATTCAAATTTTTAATTTTTTTTTATCAGCGCATGCGCAGTAAAATAAAAATGTCTTAAATAGCAACCACTATTTTGAAGACCTGATTTCGATTTATTTATTTTTTCTGAACAACTTTGATCTTTACAGTTTGTTGATATCTTCAAAATTGCCATTTTTATGACGGTAGGAAGTTTTAAAATAGTTAATTTGTAAATATCGCATTTTTCAACGGTCTATCTTAATTTATAGGTATTTATAGGTATTATTATAACAGTTAATTTTTATTATAACTACAAGGTGTATTTATTATTACATCGAATTTATAAAAAAATATCATTACAATTTATTCGATAATTTATTATTCAATGACCTGTTCAAAATTATGGCCATTATTTTCAACGCACACTTCCATTCGTCGCAGTAGTTCTCTTTGTGTAGCTGTTATTATTTGGTCTTCGGTGAGTTCACTACACGCAATGATTATTTTGTTTTTCAAATCTTCAATATTAATAGGTGGATTAGCATAAACTACTGTTTTTAAATGGCCCCATAAAAAATAGTCTAATGGTGTTATATGAGGAGATCTAGGAGGCCATTCTACTGGACCATATGTCCCCATCCATTTATGGCCAAATGTTTGGTTAAGCGTTAAGGTATTCTTGAACAATTATTGCATTATGGGCGGGGGCCCCATCTTGTTGGAAAAATAAATTCATGCGGGTATCTAAGTTGAATTCATCCAAAAATGTTGGTAGTGTGTTTGACAAAAAGTCTAGGTACCTCCTTCCTGTCAGAGTACCGTTGTAAAAGTAAGGACCTAGTAATCTACCACATAAAAGCCCACACCAGACATTCGTTCCCCACACATGCTGAAAGTTTGAATCATTTGTCCAATGAGGATTAGTATCCGACCAATAGCGGTTATTTTGTTTGTTGATCACACCATTATTAGTGAATTTTGATTCATCAGTCCAACAAACATAATTTAAAAATAGTGGTTCTTCTTGAATTTTTACCATTAACCATGCAATAAATGTAAGTCTTCTATCGGAATCACCGGGTATTAAATGTTGTATTATGTTAGGTCGATATGCGTGAAATTTATGTTTTTTTAAAATTGAATGTGCTTTCCCCACAGAGACACCGACTTCTCTAGCCAAATTTCTAACAGAAGAACGAGGATTTATTTGAATGTATGCTAATACCTGTAATTCTTCATTTTTATTAGGTTCATGAATTCGCGGTCTCTTATTGCGGCGGCGGTTTGCAATAGCTGGAAGTTCTCCGTTTTCTCTAAGATTTATTACTATACGTAAAAAATAATTGTGTGGTGGATGATATCTCTCGGGATATCGTTCAGCATAAAGTGCCGCTGCGTTACGCGAATTTTGATGACATTCTCCAAAAATTAATGCCATATCGGTTTTTTCAGAATAGTTTGCCATTGTACAGAAAATAATGTGTCACGCGCGACTTACGAAAAACGTTTGACTATTCACAATCAATTTTAGAATGCTATCAAAATATCTTTTTCACACAGGTTAATAGTATAACTTTCATTATAAATTATAATACTATTAAAAACAAATTAAGATAATAGTAGTAGATAATTTAGTAGTTTTAATAAAAATAAATTCTTATAATAATACCTATAAATACCTATAAATTAAGATAGACCGTTGAAAAATGCGATATTTACGAATTAACTATTTTAAAACTTCTGACCGTCATAAAAATGGCAATTTTGAAGATATCAACAAACTGTAAAGATCAAAGTTGTTCAGAAAAATTAAAGAAATCGAAATCCGGTCTTCAAAATAGTGGTTGCTATTTAAGAAATTTTTATTTTACTGCGCATGCGCTGATAAAAAAAAAATTAAAAATTTGAATTTATTAAAAAAATATGTATTTATAAGTATAAAAACCCCGAATCAAATTCAAGGTCACACGATCGAAATATTTCCTGTTACCTTTAAAATTGAACACACGGTATTTTCGAATGTACTTAGGAGGTACCTAATTGTATTTATTGTTAACAATATATTGTGTTTGATTTTGTAGATAAATTCGACATTGGTAATTTTATTGACAAGAATAATGAAATGAGTGATTTTACAAAATATTCCATTCTCAAACGTTGTAATGTTCTTAAAGATGTTACCTATCCATTTTCACTACATTTTAAACAAGGCAAACAAGAAAAACGTTTTTTAAGACCAAATCATTTTGAAAAATATTCTTGGCTTGAGTACTCACATGTAAAGTCTGGATTATTTTGTAAATACTGTGTAATATTTTTAGTGTCAACACAAAGTGGTAGAAGAAATACTGAGTAACTGAAAAATCTTGTTACTGAACCATTAAAGAGTTTTGCAAAATTAACTGGTAAAGATGGTTACTTAGATGGACACAGCAGCAATTTGTGCACAAAAACTGTAATCAGTTTGCTATTGACTTTCAAAAAACTTATTTAAATCCTGAAACTGTTGTTGTGAATATTTTAGACACACAGAAAATAAAACTCATAAAAGAAAATCGAGAACGTCTTAAACCTATATTTTTAGGAATGCAAAATATTGCGTTTAGAGGAAACAGAGACGATGGCAATCTTATGACAGAGTCCATTGTGAATGAAGGAAATTTTAGAGAGATGTTAAGATTCAGAGTAAAAGCAGGTGATACTAGGTTAGAATATCACTTACAAACGTCAAATTCTAAAGCTACATATATTAGCTATACTATTCAAAATGAATTAATTGAAGTTTGTAAAAAAGAAATAACATTTCATATCTTAAAAGAAATAGAACGGGCTAAATTGTACAGTATAATGTTTGACGAGACGACAGATGTTTCTAAAATGTCTCAAATGAGTTTAATTATTCGTTACATTTATGATGAAAATGTATATGAAAGATTCATTGCATTTATTGATTGCCATCAGTATTTATACAAGGGACAAACTGTTGAAGAAATTGAAGAAGAAGTTACTGTTGAAATTGAACCAAAAATAACTGGTGATATGTTTGGGTGAACTGTAATTAATATAATGTCTGAATTTGGATTAAATATTAATAATTGTATAGGAATAGCTACTGATGGGTGTTCAGTTATGGTATCAACAACTAAAGGTTCAGTAGACAAAGTACAAGAAACTGCAAAAAATGCACTGTACAGTCCATGCAATAACCATGCATTAAACTTGTCATTGTCCAAGTGTTCAACAGTACAAAGTGTTTGTAACTGTGTGTTGGTACAATGAAAGAAATAATATCATTTTTGAATGTAACAGCAAAACGTCATTACATACTAAAAAATACACTTAAAGACCGCAATCATCTTATCATTATTTGTGAAACCCGTTGGGTCGAAAGCATAGACATAATAAGATATGGACTGCTACTCCCCACACCCTGCCTTAAGCTTATTGAAATAAGATTGTTAGAAAGAGATAGTCAATACATATGTAATGTAATGTGACCCGACTACCTAAGGTGTAGGTATGCTATCTTTTTCTAAAAATGTTGTTATGTTTGTTGTTGAACTATTCTCCCTCTCTCTTTTATTAATTGGTGTAAATGGTACCCAAGTTGTATGCTATCTTTTTCTAACAATGTTGGCCCCTGGATCTCTCTCTCTCTCTCTCTCTGTTATCAGTCCATTTCTTTATAGGTCTTTATATTTCTTTATAGGTCGAAAGAAATGATAGTATTTTATTGTTTCAAAAACGTTTACCTGATATTATAAAATCATTGACAAGTATTTCAGAATGGGAAGATATGACATCTAAAAGCTAATACATTTTTAAATATAATAAACTGTGAATTTATTATTTCTATGTATTCATTATCATCTATATTATCAGTCACACACCCTGCAAGTAAAATTCTGCAATTAAAAGATCAAGATATTTCATCTGCTTTTGAAATTGTTAAAGATATTATATCACTTTTAAAAGAAAAACGCTCTAACGCTACAGATGTCTTTAATAATATATATAAATAAAGTGCATGTATGATGAACCTTCTAGAAATTGAAATCAAAGTTCCTTGAATTGTTGGAAAACAAAAAAAACCGACCTAATCCAACTAATTTAAGTAGCTTTGAAGACTATTACAGAACTACAGTATTCATTCCACTCCTTGACAATGTTATTGATGACATACAGCATAGATTTCTAAATTCAAACAATTTAATACTACAATCGCTGATGAAATTAGTATCAAAAAATTTGTCCGATTTTAATAATATTAATCAATTGGTTAACCAGATAAGTGAAGCTATTAAACACTTTTCATGTTTCACAAATGTTTGTAATACATGTTAAAAAAGAATTGATTAAATTATATTAATAACAATAAGGTATTTTTAATTACTACAATTTTTGAAAACAGTTAACAACTATATTTTGCTCCGGAGTGTTCTGGTGTCATATTTGTACGACGGTCTGTTAATATATTTTTATAAGTGCTAAATGAACGTCCGATGTCAACTAAAGTCACGGGAGCATTTTGAAGATCAGTAATTATAGACGGTGAAAAATTGTCTATAAGTTAAACTTCATTATTTCCATTCAAAACTTTAACTACGTTTTTCACAAGAGACACATTAGATTTTCCAAACTTTTGATGTATGTTACGAGAACAAAAAAATGGGCCTTAATAAATATTAGATCGTTTTCTATGGTTTCTATGTCAAAAACTGTGTTACATTTAAGTACTGACTGACTGGGAGATTTTTGACTACTTAATTCTTCGGTGTAGAACGGTGTCTGACGGTGCGACACAGTGTTGTACCGTACATGTAGTAATAATCGAACGCCTGGAGCTAAATATTTTTAAAGTGTAGTAATAATTCCATTTATTGTCGGGCATCGTTATCTTAGATAAGTCACTTATCTACTACAGAATATTACAGTACATTACTAATTAAGGCATGCTATACGATGGTTATAATACGTATATAATGTATCAATATCATATCACTATTACCGGACACATAATTTATATTATGTACGCCACTGCAGCAAAAAATATCGAATATCTATAAAAATTAATCGATATATTCTCAAATATTCTTTATTGTACGAAATATTCTTTTATCTTGAAATATTCTCAAATATGCTAAAAAAACTTTTGCCATTAATTAACCGGTTTCATGATTTGTAAAGATTTCGAACCCCCGTCTGACTGCATAGCCTCAAAAAAAAATATGCAAAATACTATAATTCCGGCCCCTACTAATAAGGCTATAATACGAGTATCGGAGTATATGACTTATCAGTTATTACGACCAGTGTTTGTCCAGACCAGTGTGTCAGTCTCAGTCGTGTTTTCACTTTTGTTCACTACTTCACTACCTATTTATTATTTTATGAATAGTTTATAGTTTTGTTCCTACTGTATTATATTTACTATAATAGGTACCTACTTTATCTGATTGAAATTTTTATTATTCTGTAAGTATTTTCTTAATTGTGTTATATTTATTAATATAATATTATAATATTTAAGAATAGTTCCAGTAATCTAAACTAATCTTTATAATTATGTCCAATTTGCTTATAGAAAATGCTGCGAATGATGCGAGGTGGAGATTTAGCAAATGGTGAAAAACCTAAGCACCTAGTCCAAAAGTTCCGTTCAGAGTGGAAAACAGATAAAAGCTTTCGAGATTGGATTGAACGGGAAAAGCAAAATGTAAATTTTGTAAAGTCTCTATGGTTTCAGAGATAACCGTTCTGAAAAACGATGCTAAAGGAAAAAAACATTTAAGTTTCTTATCTTGTGCGCCGTCTAAACAAAAACCAATGACATTTTTTGCTGAGACAACCCCTTCACTAGAAAAGAAAACACACAAGTCTGTACAACAAGCAGAAATCAAATTGGCTGGATATTTTGCGGAACACAACATTCCATTTTTGGCATCGGATCATTTAACTGACCTATTAAAAGAGATATTTCCTGATTCAGGTATACATTTTTTTATTATTAAGTGTACCTACCTATTACATTATATTATATCAAACATGCGATTTTATAGATAAAAAAATAAATTCCCAGCACCAGCACTTAGCAGTGACTTTTTTAACTTAGATTATTAATATTCTATTATTTATACCTACAGATATTGCAAAAGTGATGTCAATAAAACGTACTAAGACTACTGCCATTATTAAAAACGTTATTGGTGCCACTCAAAAAAATGAACTTGCCAACATCTTAAGAAATGTACACTTCAGCATACTAACTGATGAGTCAACTGACATCGGAACCATTAAAACATCATGTGTAGTTGTACGGTATGAGTAACTTATTGATTATAATATACCTAATAACAATACAATATACTAAATTTAATATTTTATGATTTTCAGATATCATGATAAAAGTTCAAAACGGATTGAAAGTACATTTTGGGAACTGCACAACGTGTTCGATACTAATAATCCATCTTCGGCAACCGCTGAACATGTATATAATGGCTTAATAAAAACACTTGGTGATTTTAATATACCATTATCCAATATAATTGGTTTTGGTTCAGATGGTTACAACGTGATGATGGGGGAGAATAACTCTGTTGCTTCCTTATTGCGTGTCTCTTGAACAGATATCTATATTATGAAGTGTGTGTGCCACTCGGATCATCTCTGTGTCAGTGAAGCGTGCAAGTATCTGCCACGCTTATGTGAAGATTTGGCGAGAAATATTTACAATTTTTTAAAAAGCAGCTCAAAGCGCCAAAGTGAGCTAAAACAATTTCAACGCTTTATGGATATTGAACCACATAAAATGCTGCACCCATCCCAGACAAGGTGGTTATCTCTCGGTGCTGTGGTCTCGAGACTCCTGGAACAATGGGACGCGTTGAAACTGTATTTTACTGACACATACTTATCACAGCGTTTAACAGCAACAGAGCACATATATCAAAATTTAAATGATCCTTTCATGAAGCTATACTACTATTTTCTTGATTGGATTATACCAATGTTCAACAAGTAAGTACTAAAGTTTTTAAGTTGAATTGTTAATCTTTAAATCCATTTCGTTTTTTGATTTAATAGTTTTTTTTTTCAAACAAAGGAAGTAGTAGTAAATGATTTACATGACATGATCATCGAATTGTACACAGAAATCCTTCAATGTTTTCTGAAGAAAGATTATATTTCTAGAACACCATTAAATGAAATAAATCCAAAAAACGGTCAATACCAATTGAATAATAATCAGCTTTATTTGAGCATAAATGTTATGAGGTATAAAGACAAACCAGAAATTGTAAAAGATCAGCATCATTTAAAAGATTTTTATGAAAAGAAATATATATTTTTTTTATTATTTAAATTTTATTTTTTTTAAATAATTGCTTATTTCAGGTGTAGGCAGTTTTTACAAGCAGCTACAGTGGAAATCAAAAAAAGATACAACATGAACGATCATGTATTGTCCAAACTCAAGACACTCAAGCCAATAAATGTAACATCATTAAGCTTTAGAGATGAAATGTCTTCTCTATTGCCACTAATGACAACTGTACCTAGGATTGTTCCAGAAGACAACAGCCAATTGATGCAATCTATTGATAGCCAATGGCGTAGACTGTCCCTCACATTATCTGGTTTAAATGAGGATATAAATGTAAGATATCCAGATTTATTTTGGTAAGTTTTTTTTTTATAAAATTGATACTGTTATGTAAATTGCTAAAAAAACTAATAAGTATTACATTTTTAGGTCAGAAATTAAAAAGCTTGGTGACTATAATGAGCTAGCTGATTTTGCTCTATCAGTATTAAGTTTGCCCCATGCTAATGCTGACTGCGAAAGAGTGTTTTCAACAGTAAACTGCATGAAAACCAAATTAAGAAATATTCTGAACACTGGAACAATAAATGTGGCGCTGCATAAAAAACAGCACATTAAAGGTGGCAAAAATTGTATAAACTTTCAGCCCAACGATGAAATGTTTAGTCGAATGACAAAAAACATACTGTATGAGAAATCAGATGGTAATCAAAGGTACCACAGAAAATATATTTAATGTATTGTGATTTGATGTTGAGGAAGATGACTGAATTGTGATATTGTGATATTTTATTTATTATAATCTGTTTTATTTAACTAAAAGTTAAGCTACTAACGTTTTTATTTCTGTTATTTTATTATATTACTAGCTGAATTACCCATCGTTGCCGGGTTTAAGTATATAAATGTATGTAACCTGCCAAGATTAAATTTTGTTAAATCTATTGAAATTTAAATTAACTAAGATTTTTGAAATAATATTCCTATCTATCTATCTATCTATCTATAAGCTTTGACTTTAAGCCTGGTCCCATTGCATAGTTTAGGCGGTTTCAAATTTCGCAACAACATAATAGGTGTGCCCACACTCAGAATAAGCCTATGATATGGCATGCCCGGTAGTTTCAATGAATTTAAAAATTCAACCGGATAATTAGTTGCATCGTCCATGTTGACTACCGTATCTATCGAAGTATATACTTTTTCTTCCCCTTAAAAAGACATCAGCAGTGTATCATTGATAGCCGCCGCTTGGTCATTTTTTGGAGTGAGTATAGCACGTTCACACAACCATTCCATAGGCTTATCATGAATATGAGCGATATCTGGATAAATTTTTGATATTAAATCCTGAACCGTAGTTACAACTGTGCACAGATTTTCTGGGATAGTTATCATTTCATCAAACGATGGATAATCACCATTGCCAATTTAAAGTAAGAGATCTGCAAATCCACCAGCAAACTTTTCCTCTCCCAAGTGTACCCTCATATTTTTTGACAGTTTCAGTATATTAATCTTAGGCCATAAAGTAGATCTTTTAAGACATGACTTGACTTCATCAGTTCTGGTCCCTTTTGGTACTACTGGTAGAGTCTGCCTAAAGTCTCCAGCCAGTAAAACCGTTATACCACCCATTAACCTTTTATTTCCTCTTATATCCTTTAGAGATCTATTTAAAGCCTCAACACCACCCTTATGCGCCATTGTAATTTCGACCCACACTATTAATTTTGTATCTTTTAAAACTTCCGCAAAATTATAAAATATACAAAATTACGACTGAAGTATTATATTTCCGTACTTTAATCATAAAAAAACGACAACGCCAATGTCGCGGCTAATGACGCGATATTATATACGCAATAATACCTCCACGGGCTCTACGTGTAAATAGCTAAAATCCCGGTTTATATAACACCCCGAAATCGCTGTAAAGTAAGATTAAGATTTGTATAATTGAGCTAGTCGGTGTTTTCTATACAACTCATAAATAATAATATAGCCACCTCTGGTCGCCGTGCCGTACCGTATTTCCCGTAATCGGTCGACTGCTATTGTTATTATTATCTGTATATAGATATACAAATTACATGTAAAAATTTTCTTTTACCGATTTCAACCCTTTAAATTCAAAATTTCGAAAAATCCTTTCTTAGCGCACGTCTACATCATAATAGCTATCTGTATGCCAAATTTCAGCCAGATCCGTCCAATGGTTTGAGCTGTGCGTTGATAGCAGTCAATCAGCTTACTGTTTTATATATACACATGTAGTAAACCGACGTTTTTGCACAAAAACGGCGTTCAAAAGGTTAGGTGGCCTGAACAACATCACGCCACCAAAATAGGCCACTGAGGCTGCCGCCTCATTGGTTAATACTGATCGACTACGCATCACGCCATTCCTATGACGTCAATCATCCTTTCCTAAATCCCGGGCATGTCTCATATAAATAGGGGCCCTGTTTCACAGACTTTTCAGACATAGAAGTAATTACCAGTGCTTTACAATACTTGTGTGGGTCGCGGACTAGAAACAGCCGCATCGCCGTCCACATCAAGTACAAATTAAATTACAACTATTCTCCGGTAGAATTATTATTCTGTCGACAAATTTAAACTTACTTAAAATTTACTATATTATTAGTTTCGTGTTAATAAACATATATCAATAATTAACTACATTTTGTGTTAAACTTCTTACTCTACCTTCACTTCAACCACCATCCTCCGATTCATTGCGACGACGTGTACGTGCATTCGTCGTTAAAGAAGTGTGCAGTAACCAATCAAGTGAGAGCGACGGGTTACTAGACACACTATACAGATAATATAGTTTGTTTATATTATATTCCACAAGTTACATTTTTCCTATTATTATTTTAATTTATTACCTATCTATCAATACCTTTGACTGACTATTATTTTAGCTCATATATTTACCTATGTACAAGTTAAATATTGCTATTGTTATTTAATTCAGTTCATTCATTATACATCGAGAAGTTTAAATGACTTGTTTTATTTTTTTATATTTATGTATGTAGGATTTGTATACTAACAAATGTATTCTAGGTGTTAAAAATAATAATATAATTTTAGAAATATAACCGCAGGTTTAATAAGTAATAACATACGTTATACTATACATATTATTATAGTTAAATGACTTATGAGTATCGGCAGTCTTGTAAAGTATTCGAATACAAGTATTTGAATACTTGTATTAAAATACTTTTTGAAGTATTTTTTGGTATTCTAAATACAATTTTTTTAAGTATTTTTTTAAGTATTCTGAATACTTTTTAAAAGTATTTTTAACGAAATGTAAATACTTGTATTTAAATACTATAAACTTAATATAGTATAGAGAACAGACCATGTATAACTATAGTATTATAACAGATACATATTTTATTAGTTTGAACAGAATTTAATTACTATTAATATTCGTGGGCCTCAACAAAAAAAAGTCGGAATGTATTAGTTGAAAATGAAATTGCTGACTTTCATGAGGCGCAACCACTCGTTCAGTTCTGTTTAGCTATTAAATTGTATATACCTACAAGGATTTTTCTTTGGTGTGCAAATATATTGATAACTTTTTAGTATGTACATCTTCATGCTTTCCAATACTGATGCAAGACTTTAATACAATTATTCTATAGTAAAACGTGCAATTAGAGCATTAACAATATTTCAGCTAATACAGTAAAACCTCCTTATAACGGAATCGCACGGTACCAACTGATTTTTTCCGTTAAAGGAGTTTCCGGAACTACAGATCCCGGCATTCCAGCTCACCATAACCTCACAAAGATAGGTGGTTAGATTATTATATAGCCAAATAGGCAAATAAGGTCTTTCATTATTATATCAAATATTATTGAAGTATTATTATTATTAAGTATTACCTCGAAGAGCAATTTCTTGCTTACTACAAAGAATTATTGTTTTAATAACAGAAAGTAAAATTTTTCTATTTTGTTCAATTTGTCTTGAACGTTCAATACTAAGTTGTTCAGTTATATTTTTAGATCTTCCTTCATTCACTTTTAAAAAACTATCAGATTTTTCAACACACAATTTGTGATATGATGTACTAGCATGTAATTGAAAATCTTGCAGAGAATTTTTCCAATTAGCATACTCCTTAGAAACAAGTGCACCTAATTGCTGATGACCACCTTTACCTCCCTTTTCTCGAGCAAACAAAACACATGGTCTACAAAATGCTCCTTCGAAAATCTGTGAATAACTTAACCATGGAAATCGTTTTATCCAAGATAATTGAAATCGTAAATTTCTTGTGGTTTTAACAGGAAAAATATACGTGGAATGGGGTACCCATGGAGTTTTTAAAAGTTCTTCTTTTTTTAAATCATCAATTTCTAAATTATGCACATAATTACCAATATCATTTACCGCAGCCGTGAGTGTCTTACCAGAATTATTAGACATACTATTATTAGAATTAGTTGTCAAAGAAAGGTTGTGATTATCAGTATAATGTTTGCTAGTTGAAGGTAGTTCTGATAAGTTAGCTTGGTTAATTAATACATTTTCAGAAGTAGGATTGTCTGTTTTATTTCTTTTTGTTTGGGTAAATGCTGTTATGTTCAAATGTCGTTTCATTTTCAACGTAAATTCTCAGTTTATAAATTCTAAAAAAAATATTTTATCAACTATTTAAAAAAAAAATGAGATTTTCTTTACAGAGTGAAGTATATATTAAGTATATTACAGTTATAAATTAAACGATAAACGATAGTAATAAAGTATAGTTAAATACTTAAATTAATATCGAAAACCGATATCAAATTGTCCAATATCTATTATTACCCAATATAAAACTGTTACAAAATAAACAAGCCATAATTTTATTCTTATAGCATTAAACTAAAATTATTAAATAAAAATTACTTACTAATTTGGAATCAGTACGGTTTTTGAAGTTCCTTGTACGGCAATGTTAGGAGTCCAAATGGAAAAAAGATTCGCTATCGTAAGGTTACCCGAGTTGAAAGTAAAAATTATCGATGTCTTATGATAAGGAACACTAACGAAATTCAAAGAAAACTAAAAATAACCAAATTATTTTTTTTCGTGTTATCGACGCTTACAAAATGTATTGACACTACACTGTCGTGTCTCGCAACATTCATTTCGGCGTACAGATTAACAGACATTTATGAGCAGATAAGCAGACGATAACAATAATGTCACATATTGACGTATTTATACTGTACCTACATATTTATACCACAAAAAATTCTAATTTTTATGTTCGATGAAATTTCGGGGGGGTATTTGAACCCGGAGTACCCCCCCTCCTGAATACGGCTATGGTTATAAGTACCTGATGGATATTGTGATATGATTAATTTGGAATTCATTAGAGCAGCGGTTCTCAAACTGTGTGGTACGCAAAAGACATGTAGACACGCGGAAAGCCGAATGGTGGTAGGACGGAAAATTAAAAACAATTAATATTAGATTCTAGCCATGATTTTACAATGTCGTGTCTTTTTTTTAATTCTCAGATAGATTTCAAGGGAATTACGTCAATAAACAAGATATCGTATATAATCATTGATATATTTTATAGCGTATGTACGTATATAAATTCTGATTATTTTATATCAGTACTAAATAATTTCTCTTCGGCCGTTTAGTTTGTTGGTGTTAGTCAACGTAAGCAGTTGAGTTTATCTCTTTAAATATTTACGTTCGTACATAATACATATTTTCGTACATTATTTTATATCAGTACTAAAAATGTAAAAACATGGATAAGTGGCTAAATACAAACAGACAATAAATCTACGTCTGAAAACTGTTCAGTAAGTTCTGCTTCAAAGTTGGAAAGTGCAAGTCAAGATGTGAATAATCCTACGAAAATAAGAAAATGTGTAAGGAAATATGATCCTGAGTACATTAATAGTGGATTCATGGTCATAGACGTAAGCAATGAGCCTCGGCCTCAATGTGTTATCTGTTTTGAAATTCTTTCTAACCAAAGTATGAAACCGTCCTTATTAAAACGTCACCTTTCTACAAAACATTCGACGTTAGAAAACAAACCAAAGGACTATTTCGTCAGAGATGAAAAGCACGAAGAAAATTATATCATCTTTTAGCGGTAGTACTGAAAAAGCAGTGGAAGCATCTTTCTTAGTGAGCTTAAGAATATCGAAGTGTGGAAATCCTCATACCATCGGCGATGAACTGATTTTACCCGCGGCAAAAGATATGGTAACTTGTATGTTAGGTGTTCCGTCAGCTAAACAACTTGATATGATATCACTGTCAAATGATACAGTTCGCCGCAGGATTCAAAGTATGGCATTGAACGTTAAAGAAAAATGAATTGATCAAGTGAAAAATAGTGATTTTTTTTCCATACAACTTGATGAAAGTACAGATGTATCAAACTATGCTCAACTTATGATTTACGTGCAGTATGTATTTTAAACTGTAATTAAAGAGGATTTTTTATTTTGTGAAGCACTATCAACACGAACTACCGCTGGCGAAATATTTAAAAAGTTGAACCACTTTTTTGTTGAAAATGGATTAAGCTGGAAAAAGTGTGTGGGCTTCTGTTCTGACGGTGCTCGAGCTATGACAGGTAAACATGGAGGTGTTGCGACTAAAATAAAATTGCAGCATCCACAGGGAAGCTTTATAAGTAAGTTAAACTAGTACTCCAGGAAGCCATAAAGGTAGTCAATTTTATTAAATCTCGGGCTCTACAGTCTCGTTTATTTACAAAACTGTGTTCCGAAATGGGAAGTGATCACATTCAATTGCTTTTACATACCGAAGTGAGATGGCTCTCTCGAGGAAGAATGCTTAGCAGGTTATTTGAACTACATTCTGAGGTTCAGTTATTCCTAGGAGAGACTAATTTTTAACTCAAAGATAAATTGACAGATAACCTGTGGATAACAACATTGGCATACTTATCAGACATTTTAAATCGTCTCAATTTATTAAATTTAAATTTACAAGGTAAATCAATAAACAGATTTTCAATGAATGACAAAATTAAGGCATTTTATAAGATAATTGAAATGATAAGTAATAATGTTTCGAATGAAAACCTACAGTATTTTCCTAATTTGGAACGATTTGTGACAGAACAAGAACTTCAAGTGGAAGCTGATCTCATAAAAAACATTAAACACCATTGTAAAATGCTAAAAACAATCATTGAAGAATATTTTAAAGAAGATTAATCTGAATTTTTTGGATAAGAAACCCATTCATTTTGGATTTTGATGAAATTCCTAAGACACTAACAAACAATGAAAAAGAGACTTTGATAGAATTGTCATGTGATGAAAGTTTGAAAATGGAATTTACTAAATTAGAATTGGGTGAGTTTTGGATAAAGATGAAAAACGAATATCCGTTGCTGTCTAAAAAAGCATTGTTATTTTTATTACCTTTTACAACCACTTATCTTTGCGAAACTGGATTCTCCTCAATGATAGAAGTAAAAAACAAATTTCGAAACAAACTGAATCTCGAACCAAATTTACGTTATTTACTACTCAAACTACCAAGATGCCTGTAAAGGTGAAGGTATATTGTATTTAAAAAAAATTTCAAAAGTTCTACTCAAAGACAATGAGTATGATAAAGTAACTAAAATTACTAAAATTGTTAGAAAAACAAGTCATAAATCATAATGTAGGTACCTATTTTTAATTTAATTTTTTTTTTATATAATGATTGAAGTTAGGGCTTTGCGATAGTATCGATTAATCGTTTTAAGTTAATTCAATTAAATGGCCTACAGTTCTAACTGTTAAAAGTTAACAAAAAACAATTTAACTCAATAAGTTTATAGTTGCGAATTTAAGTTACAAAATAAAATAAACTTAACTCCGTTAAATAGAAAGTTGATGTTTTTATCAAGCCTGAATATTCATAAATCATAAATTGCCCTGGTGTTTTTTATGTACACAAAAAATTACATTTTACCAAGAGATTAAGATATTGAACACTGTACAAACATAAAACATTAAATTCTTATTATAGACAATAGTAAATTGTTACCAAGCTTATTATAGGCTACATGCCTACATCTATTTTCAATTAAGTATTTACAAAAGTGTGTAATTTAAATACTGTGTTAGTCAATTGGACCTATTTGAATTTTTAAAGTCAAATACTTTTCAAAATTCAAACAAATTATTCATCAATCGTCACATGTTTTTTTCCAGTTCACATGAAGATTTATTGATTGAGGATAATGAAAATCTTACTATTAGTAGTAATGAAAATATAAACAGTCAAACTCCATCTAATTCTAATTTAACCTTAATTCAACTAGTTTTATGTTCAAAAACAACTTAAAAACATGAAAGTTTAAATAATCAAACTTTGATGTCGGCATTCACCATAACTAAAGCTTCACAATCTAAAATTGATGCAACATTAGCTTATTTTATTGCAGTTGATATGATGCCTTACAATCTTGTGACCAAAGATGGTTTCAAAGTGTATACGAACGCCTTAAACACTAGTTATCATATACCAAGTCGAAAGACTCTTACTGATTCCAGAATACCAAATTTATATAAAGATACCAAGACTATCATTGAGTCGATTGTGAATAAAGTTTGTTTTGTCATTCACCACAGATTGTTGGACTTCTGGATCCAACCAACCGTTTTTAGCTTTAACTGGGCATTATATTGATTCTAAATATAATTTGGGTAAATTAATATTATAATAATATAAAAACATAACATTAAAATTCAAAATTTTAACTTTTAACTGTGTAAATACTATATTACAGGTTCTGCATGCTTAGGTTGTATAGAACTGTCAGAAGACCACACCGGAGAAAACACTTGGCAGACACTTTACAATTACTTTTATTGGTTTTTAATTTGCCTGTTTCTACTAAAAATATTTGTGCTTTCACAACTGATTGTGGTGCTAATATTATAAGGGCTATAAAAAATTTAGATGTACAACATGTGCCTTGTTTTGGGCATGCTTTTAACACTGCAGTTGGAAACATATTCAAACTAGAAGAGTTACAAATTTCTGTAAATAAAATACAGAAAATACAAAACATTTTTGTTCATACCTGGCAAGCTGTCAGAGAAACGAAAATTGAACAAGAGCGTTTTGGGTTAAAATTGGTTAAAATTGGGTCTTATTCCAAAACTAGATGGTGGTCCCTTCTAGATTTAATTTCAGTTATTTTAGATCAAGAGTTAGGAATATCTAGTTTTCTCAAGACCTATAAAAGTGGACAGTTTAAGAAGTTGATATTATTATCTGATGACGAGGTTCATGTTTTAAAAAGTATAACTATGATTTTAAAACCAGTGTGAGAAATAACTGACCACTTGGCTGGAGAAAGTTATGTAACTGCATCAGCTGTATATCCCGTTATATTTAATCTGAAAACAAAATTATCAGAAGTGGTGAATAGCAATAATATTTCCTTGAATGCTAATGAAAAATGTGTTGAAATTAAGAAAAAAATATTTACTTCTATAATTGATGTTCTTGACAAACGTTATAATGATAATATTGCATTGAAGATATGTATGGTTTTAGACCCAAGGTTTAAAACTACATTTATTGCCCATGAAGAAATATCACAATTAACAAAAGTAATAGGAGAATGTTGTTTAGAATCTTGGATGGAATGGTCCATGAAAGAATTACATAGTAAAGGAGGTGGTAATTTGTCTATAACTGGTGATAACTGTCATTCAATTACAACAACAAAAAAAAAAAAACAAAAAACTGGACTTTCTGCCATTTTTGATGTACCATAAAATCATGAAGATGTAAGAATTTAATTTGCATTTATAATTAAGTTAAAATAATAGTAATACAACTAAACAAATATTATGCCTTTTCAGCTTCAAGATCAAGAAATCAGTCCAAGTACAAGATGAACAGAGAAATTGCCTTGTACATTCAATTTTAGAAAGTGCCATATGAACAAGATCCATTAAAATGGTGGTCTTTAAATTTTACAACCTATCCATTTTTAAGTGTATTGGCAAAAAAATATCTTACTATACAAGCTACAAGTGTGGCTTCAGAAAGAGTATTTAGCAAGGGAGGATTAGTTGTGACAGACCATAGAGCGTCATTAACTAATGATCATGTAAGTGAATTGGTTTATTTATCAATGAACAAAGCTCATGTTCCAAAACATTTACCTTAGAACACCAGAGGTAATACTAAAATTACAAATTTTATAATTATTTTGTTTGTATAATTATATTTGTTTTTAATTTTATTTGTTTCATATTTACATTGCAATATTTGATTAGTCTTTGTCAAGTTGACTTAAACCCAATAAAATGATTGTTTCTTTTGAATACAATGGTATGTATTTGTAAATTTGTTATGTTTTGAAATGTTAATCTCATTAGTATATATATATATATTATATATATATATATAGTATTTTATTTATTTAATTTATTGAACTACTTCACAAACCTTTGAAATCATGTTAATCTACTTAATTGCCTGGGAAGATTTTCCTTACTTTTAACACAGAATATAACAAATAAATAATATTCCAAATCTATACCCCCCACACTATGGTATCGAATATATAGGTTAATCGATACTATCGGTTATTCGATACTATCGGTTAATCGATACTCCAGACTAATATATTAGTCCGTGTTCGATACTATCTCGGTACACCTAATACAATCGATTAATCGATACAATCGGTAGTTTTAAAACAATCGACTATCGACCACTAGAAGTGACTATAGGCACAGCCCTAATTGAAGTTGCACATTCCGTGCACATGAAGGTTTTTGGTCAAAAGATGTTGTATGGTGCAACCGTAATGAAATGGATGCAAGGACATGGTGGAACGGAATCTGCTCTAATACAAAACTCTCTTCAGATGCTACTGAAAGGTCATTTAGTGTTTATTCTCACATTCACAATAAAAAAAGAAACCGATTAACCAATACTAGTGCCTCAAAACTACTTTTTGTTCAAGCTAATACGAATAATATTGATTTCTTAAGTCCAGATAAAAGTAACAATAAAATAAGTTCTATCAGTTCTACCAATTTAGTATCAAATAACCATGTCCAGTCAGTAAGTAAGTTAGCAACAGATAAATATCTGGAAAATATTGACAAGAGTGTAATTGAAGATGATAGTGAAGACACAGAAGAAGAAAATTATGATACGGAAGATCTAGTCGAACCTGATAACTGATCAGAGGAACATGGACATAATATTTTAAGCGGTGATGAATTTTATGAATCACACTTTAAATAGGTATATAAATCTAACTTTTAAATTTACATTTTATTTAATTTATGTATCTCAGTATCTGTAAAGTAATAAAGCTAAGTATAAATATATTTATAGTAAGTTTATTTTTGTTATTTTTCCTTAGTTCAAATAATAACAAATTTGCATAATTTATTCATCATACTACTCATAGGGTCAGTTGGGGTATTTGTAAATGATGCTGGTATCTTGATAAAACAAATAAATTATAACCATTGAACTCGATAATATTATTGTTTAATATATTTTCTTCCATGAAACATATTGTTAACTGCTGTTTTGAGGTTATTGTTCTTGTGTTATTGTTTACAAAAAGTTGTTGAAAAAAATGTGCGAAGCCAATTAATTTGTGCATCTCTTCTTTCTTGTCAATTCGTTCAAAATGTAAGTATTGTAATTATTTATACTTTTAATATATAATTATACCCATAAAAAGTCATTTTTCATGGTCAATGTTTAGTATTTCAAGTATTTATACACTTTTTACCATGTTTACATTTAACCCTGTAAATTTATACAAAGGGGTAAATGTAAATATGAAATTGGGATAATTGTAAATTTGAAAATGAAAAGCTAGCTACATGCCTAAAACCTAAAACACATCTAATTGTATTTATCCTTAGGCCTCGAGCCTACGTAAGAAAGAAGAAGCATCCAGTGTACACATCTATTGACCTACAGAAAGCAATTTCACCAATAAACTCAGACAATAAAACATACAAACAAGTTTCAGAAGAGTTTGGAATTCCTGCTTCTGTCATATTCAATAGAATAAAAGGTCGTAAAAATCCTATTGAGTGGTCTATTGGGCGAAAACGAGCTCTGAGTGATACTGTTGAAAGTATGTTGGTTAATTGCTTGAAGGCAAGAGCACAAATGGGCCATTCATGTGATAAAAATGAACTTCAGACATTGGTTTGTGAGTATGTAACTGTTAACAAAATTAAGACTCCATTTCATAACAATAAACCGGGTGAAGATTGGTGCTATAATTTTATGAAAAGGCACAACAATTTGTCATTTAAGAAGCCTGAACAACTTCAAAAGTTACGTAAAGATTCTCGGAACCCATACGTTATTTATGACTTTTACAACAACCTTAATACATTGTTGTAAATAATAATATTGAAAGAGCTTTGTGTTTAATGCTGATGAAAGTGGGTTTAAGACAGATCCTTCTCGCTTAAAAAACTATTGGAGAAAAAGGAAAAACATTGAACCGTATTTCAGGAGGTTCTGGACGTGAGTCAATAAGGGTCTTAGCTTGCATATCGGCTGACGGAAGTTGTGTTCCTCTATCATTATTTTTTAAAGGTGCTTCAGTCCATTCTCGATGGACCTCGGAGAAAGCCTACCCAGGAACTGTATATAGAGTCTCACAAAATGAGTGAATGGAGGAACCACTTTTCTTCAATTGGTTTACTACGGTATTTGTAAAACACGTAGAACAAAAAAGAATTGATTTGAAGACAAACGCTACAGCTTTGTTGCTGTACGATGGTCATTGCTCACATATAAGTGTTAGAATTATTGCAACTGCTATAAAACATAATATTACATTGTTTAAATTCCCAAGCCACCTCACAGATAAATTGCAGCCACTTGATAAATTTGTCTTCAGTCCTCTAAAAACGTTGTGGGAAAAAAAAAAATTCAATTTAGTAGATCAGCCATGGGTAAAGGTCCTGGAAGAGTTACAAAATCCAAATTTACTGAAATGCTTGGCGGTTTATGGTCTGAAGGAATGAAATCTCAAAACATTTGTAACGCAACGCGTGCACCTTGACAATCTTACCAGCACCCCTCACCGATGTCGTGATCTACTTGCCCAGTGTTGTGTTCTCGCTACATGGTGTGTGGGCGCGGACGTTTGAGCAACATACGATAAAGTTATAGGATAAAGTTGAAGCCGCGTTGAAGTCACCATTAGCATCAACATACCACCAGGAAGAGAATGTTCACATCTACGTTGATGACATGATGGTGTCAAATACAACGTATGAGTCTCATTTACTACTGTTTAGAAATCTTTTTGAAAGAATCCGTCAGTCTTGTATAACCCTTAAGTTTTCAAAGTGTGAATTCATTTGTCAAGAAATATAATTTCTGGGTCATATTGTCATTCCTTCTCACATTAGGATGGATCCTGCTAAATTAGATGCTGTAACTGCTTTTCCGTACCCTCGAAATAAGAAGGAATTGCAGTCATTTATTGGTTTTTGTAATTTTTATCGGAAATTCTCTGATCATCAAGACACAAATCTCCGTTAATTGATTTACTAAAGAATAAATCATGGTCGTTCAGCAAGGAAAATAGGGAACAATTTGATCAAGTCAAGATCACCCTGGGTAAACATGTACTTGTCCACCCGAACTTCGCCCAGCCATTTTGCCTTCAAACGGACTAAATAGGGCTTGGCGTAGAACTATATCAAATTGATAAGGGTGAACGTCGGACGATAGTGTTTGCTAGTCGTGTGTTGAACGTCGCTGAATGGAATAATTCAATTACTGAAATCGAACTGTTATCAATTGTATTTGCTTGTCAAAAGTTTCGGGTTTTTCTTTTGGGACACAAAATTACCGCTTTCACAAGCTCTGATATTTTTATACCGCTGTCATCTTCGTAATGCCCGGCTGACTCGATGGACCTTGTTACCGCAAGAATATGACCTTCATATTGAACAATGTCCCGGTACAGATAACATCATCGACGCCTTGTCTTGAAACCCAGTAGGTCGGAATGAATTCCCACTCGAGGTTATGCCTGCCATTTTTCGTTTAAAGACCGACATTCCACCAAAATTTAAAAAAGAATTGGTTGACAGTTTCAAAACACTCAGACAAGACCAGCTTACTGATTCTCGTCTTGCTACCATTTTCATGGATCTTGAGTCACCACTAGGTTCACTTCATAAATTCTATAAAATTAACAACGGTGTGTTATTTCCCTCCGCTTTCCCTTTAGTGAACAATGGCTTGTTTGCATTCCTTCTGTTCACGAGTTTTCGGTAGTTGTTCCTGTTCATGAGTTTTATGGATATGTTGGTGCCAAAAAATGTGCTGTAGTACTTAAAGAAGTATGCTATTTCCCAAATTTACATCGTCAGATCCGTTTCATTCTGGCACGCTGCGATTTATGCCAACGTACTAAATATCGCACCGTCTGATCCGAAGGGTGCTATGTCTACAAAGCCACTTGATCGGGTATTTTTTGATCCGTATGATCCTCTTCCTTCTGGCTGGAATGGTGTATCGTATATTTTTGTAGTCCTGGACAATTTCTCGAGATTTGTCAAATTTTATCCATTGTAAAGAGCATTAGCTGTAGTGACCAAACGTATGATCGATCACTATATTGCTACTTACGGGAAACCTAAATTAATTGTCTTTGACCCTGGCGTCCAGTTCAACAGCTAATCTTGGCAGAATCACCTGTCCAATTTAGGTATTCTCCAACGTTTACCTCTGTTTACCACCACTAGTCAAACCCAGCAGAACGGGTGATGTGGGAACTAGGGAGACTTTTTCGATCGTACTGTTCTGAACACCACTCTGATTGGCCGACTTATGTGCCTTACATTGAGTGGGTGTTGAATCATCCGGTACATGAAGCAACCGGTTCCACTCCATCTGAATTATTCCTACAACAGCCTCGTGGAAACCCCCTCTCTAATCTTGTGGATTTCCCAATTGAAGTAACGTGTGACCCGACATAGTGGTTGGTCATGGCAGGTTACTGAAATGTGTCATTGATTAGGGGAATAAAATATTTAATAAAATAAAATTCATATCAATTTATAATTATGGTTTGTGAATTAATTTCTTCTTGTAGTAGAAATTATTGTTCATCTGAAAAATATAATCATTTATAAATTAATTAATTTGTTATTTAATAACTATAGTTATAGATAATCTCGTTTCAATAATACTTTTATTATACTAATAATTTTTGTTATGCAAGTAGTGATGAATAGAACATTCTTATTACCCGGATGTGGGAAAATTTGTTGGGTTATGTAACCATCAACCTGATGACCTGTCCTTCTTAAAACAGTAAGTATGCCATAAATGGCAATATTTATTGGGTCCAAAAATGATACTACTTTTTAACCTACAGAGGAAAAAACATGTAATAGGTAGGTATGAAGGTAAAAATGTAAAATAAATATTATTATATTTTATATTTTAAAATTTAAATGCTTAATTAACATATTAAACAAATTTATATTAGTCTACACTCTACAATACAAAATCTAAATTTCTTCTCTTCATTGATGCAAATCGACTAATTATATTTTCTACTGATATATTGTACTCTCTATGAACATTAAATAGCCCTAGCCCTACTAGTCTATCTTGACCCATTTGTGACCGCAACCATGTTTTTAATCTAATGTGCAAAAGCAAAGGCAGTATTAAAATTAATTTGCAAGCTAAGGGCCGCTTTCACCAATACTTTAAACTCCGATTAAAGTTAAACCGGGGTTTAATCGGCCGAATTTGCCCGGTTAAATATCTGTTATCAGTCGATTAAGCGTAATCGAAGTTTAAAGTATTTGGTGAAAGCGGCCCTAAGCAATAATAATTATACCTGCGAAGCGTGGAAAAGCTGCGTTCAGCTGTAGCAACACTACAGGCAGGGTCCCTAATATCAGCAGAATGTTGTGAATTGTTGGAAATATTATTGGCGAACAATTATCTAATGATGCCCATACAGTTTTTGGAGGTTCAAATTCTAAAAATAAAATTATTATGAATGTGTATACTAAGTTGCAATCATGTGTTCAAAGTTATGGTTATATAATATATTACCTTCATCAGTGTTTTTGTCTGAACTCAGCCATTTGGTTTTCCACAACTCAATTTCTCCTTTGAGCGAGTGACAGCATTTGTTTTTAAATGATAGTTATAGTTTTTTATTACTGTTTCAATAATGATTTCTGAAGTTTCATTTGATAATTTTAATATGTAGGATGGTATAAGTTGAATTAATAAAAATAAAGATTCATTTTTTTATTAATAAATCGTTCTCGTAAATCTTCTAATATGTTTTCAGTTAGCGGTATGAATAATGTTCTCAAGTAATATTGTTCAGGAGAATCGGCAGGTGTATTAGCTCTATTTCTCTGTTTGTTTGTAGTTCTAGGTAATTTGATCTCAATGTCTAATTTTTCCATAGCCGTTTTAGCTTCTTTAAATATACCATTAAATACATCTTCACATTTTTTTCTTTTTTTCACTAAGATTATTGATGACAGATTTGATACAATCAAATGCAGCAACTACATCCTGTTAATTTCCTTGTAAAGCTCGGCTAGCTGGTAAACTTACACTTAAAATATTAGAGAGTGTATATAATGTTATTAAAAATTTACAATTACACATTGAAGTCAATAGTATTTTGGATATGGTTGAAGAAGTAAGATCATTCCCTTCAGAAATAGCCTCTAGGGACTCAATAATTTCTGGTAAACATATTTGAAATTGAATTACACTATCATGTCGTTTGATCCACCTCGTTTCACAAAGACTTGTTAAAGTACGATTTTGTCCTTTAAGAGTATTTTTTAAGATAAACCATCTTTTAGATGATTTATTAAAAAAAGATATAATATCTTGTATTATGCCCATACTATTTCTCACTGATTGCACATTTGATGATTTAGATATGGAAAGGTTCAGTGAATGATTGGAACAAGGACTATGAATAGCGTTGTTTGCAGATTTTTTAATATGTTGAACCGCTCCATGTATTGTTGAAGTCATGACCATACAACCGTCAGTGCCAATTTCTACACAGTCATGAAAATCTATAGACATTTCTTTTAATATAGAAACTACAGTATCACCTAATATTTCCCCAGATAGTTTTGGTTCTAGTTTTTTAGTGGGATCAAAATCACATAAGTTATCATCTGATTCATTGTCAATGTTATTAGTTGACATGATCGCTCTACGTTTACCTTGTCCATACACATATTCATGACAATCAAGAAAATTGATACATTTTTCTTGAACTCTGTGATTAATATCAATATATCTAAGAGAAAGGCTCATCTGTGAAATATTACTAATATCTGTTGTTTCATCAAATATGATACTAAAATATCTACTATTTTTTACTTCTTTCAAAATAAAAGAAATGATTTCATAACAGCAACATTGAATAATTTCTTCTTGAATAGAATGTGATAAATAAATAGCCTTAGAATGAGTGGTTTTCAGATGATTTTCTAATGTTTGATCTCCAGCAGATATTCTAAATTTTAATAGTTCAAGAAAATTACCCTCATTTATAGTTGAAGAGTAAGATGTGGTATTTGTAAGATTATTGTTTTCACGATGCCCTCTCAAGGCAATATTCTGTTGTCCCAAAAAAATTATTGATTGAATGATGGGCTTTAGGCATTCTCTGTTTTCCTTGCATTGCCTCATACGTTCAGTGATAACTAAATTAGCCACATTATTACTGGGTTCCATATAGGTTTTTAAAAAATCAGATGAACATAAAGAAGCTTCTTTATGATATTTATTGCTATTGCGAGTTTCTAAACATCCATTTTTACCTAATAAATTTGCAAATTCTTTTAAAGGTTTGGTTACAAGTTTTTGTAAAGGTACATTTTTTTGTTTACCACCGTTTTTGTGAACTAAAAAAAGAACACAAAACTTGCAAAATAAACCAGCATATTTTTCTGAAAAAACAAGCCAAGAATAATTTTCAAAATGGTGATACCTTAAATATCATTTTATCTCCATGCCATTTTTAATATGAATAGAATATGGAAAGTTATATAATGGGTCAGGTTTCCATGAATTTAGTAGCCGAAATTTTATGTGATCATCGATTTGAATTTGAATAAAACCAACAAAATGTCCAATGTCATTACTTAAACTAATTGAGCTTGACTTCAAAATACTATCGTTGTTCGTATTTGAATCCACCGTTTCAATATTTTTAGCTGTTGTGTTTTCTTCGTCTAATTATATTTCAGAATATGTCTTTTCAATAGATTCAGATACATCACTCGGCGTGTCCTCTTCATCTGAATTGTTATCAAGTGGAACATTTGATTTCTTTCGAAAAAACTGAAATATGGATTTCTGTTTCATTTTAGAAAACGACATAATTAATACCATAACGACTAGTGTACACAGTACACTACTACACTGTACACTTTTCTCCGGAAAAACAACTGCGTGAAAGAAAGCATCAAACAATGACAATTGACTTAAAAGTTAATAGTAGTCGCTAGTCGGAACAAACTACAATACACAGTACACACTACTACACTAGACAATTTGAAAATGCTATATTTAATATTATAGTTTAGCGAATAAGTGCGAAGCGTAGAAGGAGCGTCTAAACACAGAACTGAACCGTGACCGTTCTGCGCATGCGCTAGTGACATATCAGAAATTGAAATCTCTTATCTGTTATCATGTTATCAGGTTATCTGAAAAGAATAATATTTTAATAATACTTTTAATAATAATCGATATACCATGGCTTAAATATACAAGGTTATTGCACATAGCCATTATTGTTATCAAATAAAATAAAATGGCAGCGTAAGGGTCACGATTCTTTATCAATTATTGTTATCACTTAATTATATAATGTATAATGTATATATTCATATAATATACAGCCAATCAAAACATCGCCCCTTACACTGCCATTTTAATTTCTTAACAAGATAAAACGATGTAGTGGGGGTACTACTGCAATAACCTTGTATATTTAAGCCATGCGATATACCTTAACGATAAACCATAATGTTGGTTTTTTTTTAATTTCTTGTATTCTTGTTGTTGATTTACCCTTTGTCAATTTGATCATTCTTTCTACCTTTTTATCACAAGTGAATCGTCTTATTGTCACTATACTTTTATCCAATCTTCCAATTTTACATCCATTTAAGTAATGATACTTTATAGTTTTATGCATTGATTCTAGATGCATATTGCAATTTACTCCCAGTCCTTTTCTGTAACTTATAGGCTTATATTATGATGTGGTTTGTATAATATTGTTAAATTTGTATCAGGTAATAATATGTTATATTATTTGTATAAGTAATATTTTTAATTAATAAATTTTTATGTTTTATAGGAAAAAATTGAAACTAAATGTAATGAACCCAAACTAACAACAATTTATTATGATGGAAGATTGTATGCTTTAAAAAAAACTGAAAAGTAATTAGAAATTGCCATATTATTTACTAAATTAATAATAATTATAAAAATTTCCCTAAAAAGTATAAAATGGTTTTAATTGTAATGTAATACATAAAAATAATTGAATAATAATAATAATAATAATAATAATAATCCGTCTTTAGACTTCATCAACTAAAATGTATAAATTAGTGTTCTTTAAAATATGAATGTTCCACATCTTTTTCCTGCAATATTTTAAAGTTTTTGTTTAAAAAGGTGTCACGTAGATCATTACTTTCAAGTTCAGAAGGTTTAAACAAATCGTTTTCGGGTTTTTTTCGCTTCGATTTTGTAGAAAAAAAGTTATTTTGAGGAATTATTTTTTATTAGGTGGATCGTTGTTTATTTTAATGAACTCTTTACTTGGCGCAGATTGTTTTGTTGTTGCGTCAATAAATGCATTGAGAGCATCTATCTTTTTAATAGCTTCTTTAAGGTGATCAGAATCTTCCATTAAATCAATTTTATTTACTGTACTCATAGCTTTTTTTTAAATATTTCATACAAGTTTTCATTTTCATTTGTGTTCTTTAAAGTCTTCATATGTATATCTATTTCTTGTGTATCTATTGTAAGTTTATTTGTCTCATTTAATTCTGATTTGCCCACTTTTGTTGTATAATTTTCCTCACTTAGTGCAATAGTATGAATATGTTTACAAATAATTAATTTTATGGAGTAATCTAAACAAGTGCATTCAAATGTATGAATGCATATTTTACATGTACTATAAACTATTACACAACATATTTCCTCGTTAATTTGTTTAACAACATAAGTTTTACTTGGTGTATGTTCACTATCTACATTCCAGCTTTTTGCATCGTTCTTGGATATTTTTAAATTAAGTGAAATACTGGTTACATGTCTTTTTTTTATTTCTTGAATTCTTGTTGTTGATTTACCCTTTGTCAATTTGATCATTCTTTCTACCTTTTTATCACGCGTAAATCGTCTTATTGTCATTATACTTTTATCCAATCTTCCAATTTTACATCCATTTAAGTAATGATACTTTATAGTTTTATGCATTGATTCTAGATGCATATTGCAATTTACTCCCAGTCCTTTTCTGTAACAATATGCCCATAATGTTGCTCTATTTGCATACATTCGTTCAAAATATACTCCAAAATCTTTTGTTTCAGGATCATTCATCATAAATTGGTTTAAAATTTTTTTGAATTCAGTATCACTGGATATTGTCTGAAGCATTTTTAATGATTTATAAACAGTGGATTGTTTTTCCTTACACTGAGGTCCAATAATTTTATTTAAATTTAAATTTTATTTAATTTTTATAGTTCCTTGTGAATTTATTAACCTTTTTGAATTATCTTTTTCTTTATAGGTGCCAGATCGACTACATTCATAATAAGTTCTACAACCATCATTGCATTTTCTTTTTCCGGTTTGGTGTGAATATTGACAGTTATGTTTTAGTTCATAATTTTTTAACCAATTTTGAAACTCTAGAATTTAATTTAGGATGTTTTTAGTACATTTAATCGGGTATTTTTTGATCCGTATGATACTCTTCCTTCTGGCTGGAATGGTGTATCGTATATTTTTGTAGTCCTGGACAATTTCTCGAGATTTGTCAAATTTTATCCATTGTAAAGAGCATTAGCTGTAGTGACCAAACGTATGATCGATCACTATATTGCTACTTACGGGAAACCTAAATTAATTGTCTTTGACCCTGGCGTCCAGTTCAACAGCTAATCTTGGCAGAATCACCTGTCCAATTTAGGTATTCTCCAACGTTTACCTCTGTTTACCACCACTAGTCAAACCCAGCAGAACGGGTGATGTGGGAACTAGGGAGACTTTTTCGATCGTACTGTTCTGAACACCACTCTGATTGGCCGACTTATGTGCCTTACATTGAGTGGGTGTTGAATCATCCGGTACATGAAGCAACCGGTTCCACTCCATCTGAATTATTCCTACAACAGCCTCGTGGAAACCCCCTCTCTAATCTTGTGGATTTCCCAATTGAAGTAACGTGTGACCCGACATAGTGGTTGGTCATGGCAGGTTACTGAAATGTGTCATTGATTAGGGGAATAAAATATTTAATAAAATAAAATTCATATCAATTTATAATTATGGTTTGTGAATTAAATTCTTCTTGTAGTAGAAATTATTGTTCATCTGAAAAATATAATCATTTATAAATTAATTAATTTGTTATTTAATAACTATAGTTATAGATAATCTCGTTTCAATAATACTTTTATTATACTAATAATTTTTGTTATGCAAGTAGTGATGAATAGAACATTCTTATTACCCGGATGTGGGAAAATTTGTTGGGTTATGTAACCATCAACCTGATGACCTGTCCTTCTTAAAACAGTAAGTATGCCATAAATGGCAATATTTATTGGGTCCAAAAATGATACTACTTTTTAACCTACAGAGGAAAAAACATGTAATAGGTAGGTATGAAGGTAAAAATGTAAAATAAATATTATTATATTTTATATTTTAAAATTTAAATAGTAGTACATTTAATAAATAAATAAACATTATATTATGTCATGGTGGTACCTGATACACTAGAAAAGTGCATTGTTTCTTCTTTTATACACATTCCATGTTGTGTATTTAAATGTTCAATAAGCATTTTTTTTTTTGAAAATGTTTTGTCCTTACAAGATAAACATTTGGATATGACTTTTTTTTTTGTTTCACTTGTTACATTGTGTTTATTTAAAAGATATCTTGTCAATGAAGACTTGGTCGAAAATTCTTCTTTGCATATATCGCAATTAATCACCATTTTGAACAAACGTTAAAATAAAATAATAAACTCTACTTTTTGTTTATTACTGTATACTGTATACTTGATCAAAGTTGCCTACCATTATGGTATGACTGTATCTTTCATGTAATTATATATAGCTATTTATAAAACTTTTTGTTGAAATATACAATTAATATTAGTATTCAAACCATGTAAACACACGTGCGTGTACAATGTCGTTTTCTAATAGATACTTATGCAGTTACGATATAGCTGTGTAACACCTTTACTATCGCTTTCTATATTATATACGGATACAGGATGGCCTCGATTGTTCATATAAATAGGGCCTTTGATGTATGTAATATTCACTTGCACAGACGCTGTCATACCGAGTGTACGCGGTGTGTGTGTATAGTCACAGGTTAATTGTCCAGTTGTACGTTATTATATATTATACTTATACATAATCATATTGTCGTGTTATTACTTATTATATTAATGCTAACATCATTAGTCCGTCAAGCTTCACTTTCAACAGGTTATGGGCCCAGTCAATAACCAAGACATACGTCTAGTGGATTCGTGATCGAAGTATTTTTATATTTGTATTAACGCAGAAAACTACAACCAGTCGGAGATATCCTGGATTTCGGAAAACGGCGGAACAGTGTACATAGGTAAAGTTTTGTTATAAATTGTTATACAGGTCAAGTATACGGGAAATCATCGGTCATGGAAGACACGGTGAAGATAACAAAATTATGTGCGGAAAACTGGTCGTTATGGAAATTCCAGATGAAGGTCATTCTAAATGCCTTGGAAGTAGGTGAGATAGTTTCAGGTGAATGGACGAAACCAAGTCTACCTATAAAAAAGTCGGCAGGAGAGACCGACGAGGAAGCCAAAGCACGTTGGCAAAGGCATACTAGCGCTTGGCAAAAAGCGGACGGTAAATGTCAGAAAATAATAGTTACCTCAGTGGACGATGGTCCATTACAATATTTGATTAACTGTGAGACTGCATTGGAAATGTGGGAGAAACTGCTGAGTATTTACGAGCAGAAGTCTGAGGCAAGTATACATTTGCTTCAACAACAATTTTTCAGTTATTCAAAGGAGTCGACAGATGACATGTCGACGCATATTTCTAAATTGGTCAATTTAGGAAGGAAACTGAGAGTAGCGGGTGAACCAGTTACGGATAACATGGTTATGACAAAAATACTAATGACATTACCAAAAGAATATAATCATTTTTACAGTGCTTGGGATTCAGTCCCAACGGGAAGTAAAAATATAAATAATTTAACTAGTCGGTTGTTGATTGAAGAATCACGGGTTATCCAGATCAAAGGTGAAGTTGGTGAACAAGAGAAATCGAGTGCATTTCCAGCCAAATTTCAAAACAGATCCGATGGAAAAAACGGCAGTTATGGTAAAGGTAAAAAACAATTTACTAATAAAAGTAATGTTAAATGTTATTACTGTGGTAAAATTGGTCATTATAAAAGAAACTGTAAGAATTTTCTAAGTAGTATGAAAGGTGGGAAAACCGGTACTACAGGTACAAATTTAAATGCATTTGTAAGCGAATCAAGGATAAATAAAACTTCAACAGATACGTGGGTTTTAGACTCAGGCGCGTCGGATCATATGAGCGCGAACCTAGAATGGTTTACAAGTTATGAACCATTGAAATATACACAACAGGTAACAATAGGTGACGGAACAAATCTATATGCAACAGGAAAAGGTAATATTAATATATTATCATACGTGAACGGTAATTGGAATAAAAATTACTTGGCAAATGTATTGCACGTGCCGGGATTAAAATTTAATTTATTCTCGTGCGGGTCAGCGTTAGACAAAGGTTTAGAACTAACGTCAGACAATAAAACGTGTGTGTTCAAAAGAAACGGGATTCCTGTATGCATAGGCACAAGATGCGGTAGGTTGTTTGAATTACAGACCAAAGTTGAAGCACCATCGAAAGCTGAATGTTATGCGAACATTGCAGTAGAAAAACGATTAGAAGTATGGCATAAGCGTTTAGCGCACCAGAATATTCAATACGTGAGGAATTGTTTGGCAAAACATAATATTGATTATTCAGCCAAGGACGATCAATTTGTATGCAGCGACTGCATAATCGGGAAACAACACCGTCAATCGTTCAGTAAAAGTGAGACCGAATATTTTAACGTCGGCGATTTAATACATGCAGATTTATGTGGACCGATGCAGAGGGACTCTATCGGTATGTCAAAATATTTTTTACTATTTAGAGATGACTACTCACATTTCAGAACAGTATATTTTATTAAGAATAAATATGAAGTAAAAAATATTATGGAAACATTTATAAAAAGTGTTAAAACAGAAACAGGATCTAAAGTCAAAATATTAAGGACAGATAATGGGTTAGAATTTGTAAACAAGGATATTACAGGTATTCTACAGAAATATGGCATACGACACCAAACTACGGTAGCATATACGCCGGAACAGAACGGGAAAGTCGAGCGTGATAACAGAACAATACGTATTTAAATGGTTCATTATTTGTGCATCAGACAAATTATGCATGTAGCATAATTAATAAATTTAATATGCTGGACGCCAAGGAACTTTCAATTCCGATAGACAAATCACATACTATTGAACAAAAGGAAGAATCGGAGATATTAAGTGAAGAAATACCTTATAGGCAGGCAGTAGGTAGCTTACTGTTTTTATCACAGGTAACGAGACCAGATATAGCATATGCAGTAAACTTTGCTAGTCGTTACTTAGCAAAACCAACTAAAGCTCATTGGAACTTGGTAAAACGGATTATACGATATGTCAAACGAACATTTAATTATGGCTTGTATTTTAATCATAATACACAATTGTCATTAGAAATATTTAGCGATTCAGATTACGCAGGTGACGTTCAGACACGACGTTCAACGTCAGGATTTCTATTCAGATACGGGTCGAGCATAATTTCATGGACATCGCAGAGACAACATTGTGTGTCATTGTCATCGACCGAGGCTGAATATATTTCGGCCAGTGAAGCTGTAAAAGGAATCATGTGGATTACGCGGTTGATAATAAGCTTATCAAAAACAGGTGATAAACAACCGGTTTTATTTATAGATAATCAGAGTGCTATACGTTTAGTTAAGAATCCGGAGTTTCATAAGAGGACAAAACACATAGACGTACGATATCATTTCATACGGGAGAAATACGAAGAAGGACAATTCCAACTACAGTACATTGGAACAGAGGACCAGATTGCGGACATTCTAACCAAGCCTTTGGTTAAGGAACGATTCGAGAAGTTGCGGTCAGCCATAGGAGTGACTACAATTAAAGAAATTATTAATTGAGGGAGGGTGTTGAAATATACAATTAATATTAGTATTCAAACCATGTAAACACACGTGCGTGTACAATGTCGTTTTCTAATAGATACTTATGCAGTTACGATATAGCTGTGTAACACCTTTACTATCGCTTTCTATATTATATACGGATACAGGATGGCCTCGATTGTTCATATAAATAGGGCCTTTGATGTATGTAATATTCACTTGCACAGACGCTGTCATACCGAGTGTACGCGGTGTGTGTGTATAGTCACAGGTTAATTGTCCAGTTGTACGTTATTATATATTATACTTATACATAATCATATTGTCGTGTTATTACTTATTATATTAATGCTAACATCATTAGTCCGTCAAGCTTCACTTTCAACACTTTTATTAGGAAAATTTTAGTACTGTAAATAAAAGATAAATACAAGATCCAATAAAAATATTGTATGTAATAATAGGTGTAAGATTACCATGATGTTATAAGAATTGAAAATAATCTTATATTATTTCACTAGATTAATTTCCACAATATTGTATATTTGTATTAATACTACCATTCATATTTTTTTATGTAGTGATTATATGTTTTATGAGAAATAATAAAAAATACCTAATTTTTATATATTTTTTTTATTCTTTGATTATCTAGAAAGGATATAAAAGGTCAAGAAAGTACGAAATATAAATCTTATATAAAATAATATTTTATTATGCGCTTTACTGAAAACATTTTACTAATATATAATATTTAATTTATTCTAATAACAAAAACAATCTGCATCAAGTAAAGAGTTAATTAAAATAAACAAAGATCCACCTAATAAAAAAATAATTCCTCAAAATAACTTAGAGAGCAGACAGCGTCCAATCATCCATTGCATGTTGTCTGGAATATCGTTGTTGACATTGACATTAATTGCTCAACTTACATATAGTTTGGCTGCCATCTTACACTTTTCTAAAGAAAAATAATACAATTTTACATTATCTATTATCCAAACATCAATACACATTATTTATTGAATAAGATTCCAGCTAAAACAGTATTATATTATACAAAATTAACATTATAACAGAAAGAATTGGTCACCTCCAAGCCAATGGCTGTGCGGAAATGAGAGTTCTAAATTTCTAATAAACTAAAAAAATAGTAAATACCTTTCTGAAGCATGCATGAAAATTGTATATTGTAGACAACTTGTACAGATAACATGATAACAGATAAGAGATTTAAATTTATGATATGACACTAGCGCATGCGCAGAACGGTCACGGTTCAGTTCTGTGTTTAAACGCTCCTATCGTAGAGATATCATGAGAGATATAAGATATAAGATTCAAGATTATACTATCAATAACATGGCCAGACATCAGTCACTCAGTGTGACCAACCGCTTACTGCGATACCAAAACTATTTACACCCTACAGAGGCCGTGATTATAATTCTTAGAACTTCTATACAGATTTCTGCAAAAAATTATTATTTATACGTAGTTTGATGTCCAGCCGTCTAGGGATGGGCCATGGCCCCTATGCCCCCCCCCCCTAAATGTCGCGCCATCAACGACTTGGCAACCGTCTTGAATGTTCCGTCTCACCCAGATACCAAAAATTAATTTTTTAGAAATTCTTCTATTATTTCTTCAACCAGACTAGATTACTTACATTATGTAATTCGTTTTCAATTGACTCAATATGATACTCAATACCTACTCAATTACAAAATAGTACACCAACAAATGAACTATCGTCATCGACAATGACCTTGATAAAATCTGGGGTAGGTAACACAAAAAATTAAAATTGGTAGGTATCTACAGTTATTAACTAAGAGTATGTTGTAACAAAATAGGAAATCGAGACTATGATTAAATTATAACCTTTGTATTAAAACAAGTAGGTATATACACCAAGTATTAAGATATCGACGGCTACAGGGAAAAAGTGCGTAAACGACATTTTTGCCGAAAATGAGTTAATAGAATTTTGGCGTAAACGCCACGATTCTTTATCGATAGAGCCAACGATTGTACCGATATGATTTTTTTACGAATAACTATCGATTTTTAAATATTTAGCGTAACCGCCATTCATATCAGGTGTGTAATTGTTATCGGACGTAAACGACTTTTATTAGGCGTAAACGACTTCTATTAGACGCAAACGACTTTTATTATGCGTAAACGACTATTAAATAATTTAATATGATGTTGTAAACGACATTTTGTTGTTAACATCAGAATAATGGCATTATATTATTTGATGCTAATTTATGATGACGAATAATAAATGATACGCATTACGCATTTTTGAGCTGGTTACAGTGGCTACACGTTCCACTCATTCAAGATTCTTGATTTCAAGTAAGTTTTACAACGTATTTATTACATAAGTTATACAAGTATCATAATGGTCATCTTTAAATTTACTATCAGTCTTTATGGTGCGTTATATTGTCTTACGCCTAGGTATAATATTTTAAAATTATGTTTCCCATTATTAGTAGGTAGGAATGTCTTACACGATAAGTTTTGTTGTCCAGTACATGACTGTGTCTAAATGTCACCGTAGTAGTTAAGCAATAGTAAAAATATTATAGTAATTGATAAGTTATAGTTTAATTAACTGTTTGTACCTTTTATTATGTTTATTTAGTTTAAAAATGGGTTCAAGAATAAAAAAAATGATGAATGCTATAAATAATTCGTCTAGCACTATTGAAAATAACATTCCATCAAAACAAAACGACAACTTTGAACAATCAAACACAGAACAATCATATAAAGCGCTAGTGGTCTAGCCGTAACGTAAGAAGTTATTGCCACGAAATATGAGTTGATAAGGCACTGAATTCCGTATCCAGTATCCAGTATATTATATTAATTCGTGATATACACTTATGTTACCAAAATTCAACTTGTATATTTCTTACATCATTGTTGACATGCATAATTGTTATATTGTATCATTGTTGTTAAAATACATACTAACTTGGCAGTTTTCGAAACGACAGAGTGAAATGTTTATTATTATCCATTTGTAATAAATAATTAAAATGTTGCAGGTTCTTCGGTGTTGGAGGGAACACTGATTTTCTTATTTGCAGCATCCTTTCAGCAGCTTGGGAAAATGTATAATTTTCAGCTTTTGGAATTGCTGTTGTATAAACAGTTATTTTGTATAATGTGATGGTTGTTTTAAAGTCAATTTTCTTTTTAAAGTTACCAAATAATTGCTTCTACATATAAAGCTGAGTATGGCCGAGCAATTTGTTGAACACATCAATTACCAATTGAACTTCAGAGTTCCCTCATTTCTGTATTACACCAAATGCCGTACGAGTTTTTTTTAATTTTTTTTTTACTAAAATAAATAATATAAATATATAAATAATAATCTGTATAAGTAAAATTATTATATAATTGTGGTATAGAACATGTTATTTTGTTGTTATTGAAGTTAAAAAATGTATTAATTAATTATATGCGTATTTACGTTTTTTTCTTACTTCCTTAACAAATTAATCATAATTCGATGAGATAAAAAATAACTCAGACCTACATACCTTTATGTTCTGAATTTTTACAGTTTTTTTATATTTTATAATAGGTACCGTAGAAAATAACATTTCCTTTAAATGACTTCAGTATGTAATCTTACCTCTATTAAAATCACAAAAGATATCTATATAAATACCTATTAAATATTCGGAAGCTTATCGTTTTCTTAAATATAGTTAATTCTGTTATACATAATATACATTATACGTGATAGCTAGTGTCGAAAATTGAGATACATGTACCTATTGTACTTATTCGCCCTGAACAGGTAACGAACGCGCTCTATAGGATTATATATACATGTAGCGCATTTGAGTATTTCCAGGGGCTATATATCATCTACAATTATCATTGTTTTGTCCCGTATTGGCCGTATTTTCATATATTTATAGTATTTGGATAAAATAATGGATTCAACAGTCAATACTATATTTATATTATAAACCCGGTTTTAACCAATAAATAATAAATATTATTATTATTTGTTTCTATTATTATTTTTATGGAAATAATATAACTAAAAATATAATAATATGTATATTTTAACTTATTAAAACAAAATATCTTCAGTCTTCAGTCGTTGACCATATCTAATGTAACCTGTATGTACCTACGTCCTTATTATTGTTCTGTGATTTATTTTATTCATTAGTAAGTTTGATAAATAAAAAAATGTTTATAATATGGACAAACGAATTGACAATCGAGTTTTTAGATCTGTATGAAAAAGAAATTGCGATTTGGGATCCGAAAGATCAATTACATAGAAATCGTGATATAGTTTTTGATTCGTGGAAAAAAATAAAAGATTTAATGAGCATACCAGTAGATACCAAAGAGCTGAAGAAAAAAAAAGAATCGCTAATGTCAACATTTCGACCACTTTTGGCAAAAAAAAAGGCCAGCAACAAATTAGGTGCAGGTACGGACAACGTATTTAAACCAAGTTGGTTTGCCTATGAAAAAATGGAAACATTTTTGCATTGATGTATATAAAAAGGGACACCATAAATACAGAAATAAGTTAATTTTATTGATTAATATATTTAAATATGTAATTAACAATATTTGTCTTGCCATGGTAATTTATCAGTGGTTGAAAAATAGTCAACGAATTCATCCCTTATTTTTTTGGCTTCTAATCCTGATTTTCTCGCGACATTTCTTAATGGTATCATTAATTATCGGTCGTCTATTACATTTCGCCATGTCCCTGGTATAAACTCTCCTTCATTCTCAGAGTCGATTGTGCGGAGTGGAGTATCTTAAAGACGATGTTCGACTTTTTCTCAAAAAGTTGTGTAATAAAACACATGCCATAACAATGCTAGTAACTTTTTCTGGTTCTAATAATATGGGTTTCCTTAGCATACGAAATGTAGACGCCATTATTCCGAATACATTTTCGACTACCCGGTGAGCACGTGAAAGATGGTAGTTAAACACCCTTTCAACACTACCCTTAGCATAGGGTCCCGGATAAGGTTTCATAATGTTTGTAGATAAGGCAAAAGCATCATCTGCTACAATTACATATGGCATAGGAAGATTCTTAGTAGGTAAGAGTTGATCTGCCGGAAGTAATAATAAGTTATTTTCAATTAACTTTTTTTTTGAACAATGTTGTGTTTCTAAAAACGCCACCGTCACTAATTCTGCCCCGACACCCAATGTCGGCATATAAAAAATTATAATTTTCATCTACTAATGCCATCAGCGCAACACTAAATGTTCCTTTATAATTTATATATTCGGATCCACTGTTAGTGGGGCACTGTGTAATTATTTGTTTGCCATCAATGGCACCTATACAGTGAGGATAATGAACTGGTAAACTATACAATCCATGTGGGAGAATATACAATTACCATGACACGTATACCAGCGCTGGGCATTGTGAATATACACCAGTCGTGTAGGAGCAAAGACCAATGTTGTATCACCAGTGACAAATATTGACCAGTATACCATTCGTGTGGGACCGCCTTTATACAGGCACAGGTTGTCAAGCTGGCCAGCGGTTCACCTACAAATTTGTGAGTTGTTCATATTATTATTTTTTGACCCTGTCCACTTCCTGTTGAGTGCTATACATAAATACGGGTGGCCCCCTTTTCGGCCAAAATGTACCCTTCCCTTTTCAGCCAGTGTCACTTTTCGGCCAAAACTAACCGTTCCCTTTTCGGCCAGTTTTTTTTTAAATTTACAATTATAACAAATTAACTTAAAAAATGTTTGTATTTAATTAAATATTATTGTATCCAAAAATTTAATTTTTTGATAAACATTATTACCTACAACTGAGTGAAAAAATTATAAAATAGAACAATTGGCAATCAAATGATTTCAGTCAAATAAATTACCTAACTTAGATGAGCGAAAACAATTTATTTTTAAAGTAAGTATTATTTTACCTACACGACTCTTATGAAAAAAGCTTAAAATAAACAAAAATGTATTTAAATACACAAAATGAACCTTAAAATGTGTAATATTACGTAAATATGACCTTAAAAATGCAATTAAATGCATTTAACACAAAAAATGCAAAATAAAAATTACACATTCTAAATTGTTATAAAACGAAACAAATTTAGTTTTTGTTAGAACTGTATAAAAACTTAAAGAAATAAAGGGCAAAAGTCACAAAAATCCTATGTCTAGACTATGACTATTAATTATTTATTGTGTACGATGCACGTATGTATTTTAATAAAAAAAATAAAAAAACATCCCTCTTTTAGAACTGAAGGTAATTTTAATGATGATACCACATAATAGAAAAATCAGAATGGACACTGATAAGGAATTATACTAGAAGCATAGGGAAATCTGATAAATGAACTCTCCATTTTCTTGGAGGAAAATCAGCATGACCATACACGGCAAAAATAATTATGTTTTGGTAAATGAGTACCTAAATTATTCATTATAATCCACTTATTTATCTATTCTGATCTTATGCCTTAATAATATATTGTATTTATTTATTCTGTGCTTGTACTAATAAGGACCACAGGATAGAATACACTCAAAAAATGATTTTTTGTGATTATATATTATGTTTTTGTGTAGTTATAATAAAAGAAAAAGGTAAAATAAATTACATCATATAATATAAATTTTGAAATTATTTATTTAATAAATCTTGGTTATTTCCACATTAGTTACAGCTGAAGTATTCATTAATATAGTTAACAAATTGATCTGGTGGTACTGTTAAATATCCATAATTACAATTTTCTTCATTTTGATATGCTTTAAAATAGGTAAGCAAGAGTGATTGATCTACCTCATTTTGATCTCTGGCATAATTTAAACAGACATGACATGAATATTTTTCAAAATATTTTTTTATTAAATAGCCAGAAACATATGCAAGTGCATTTCTAGCCGGTATACATAAATTGTGGTAATCAACAGTTTCAATTTTCAAAACATTATCACTAAAAGGATTTTTGTCTGAAAATAATAATTTAACAGAACCCAATGCAGGAGCAACTTCACTAATATTCGTCAAAATTTGATCTAAATCATCCAAGCAATTAAAATAATGATGGCGATAAAGTTTAATTAATGTCGATCAGCAATTAAAAGTTTAATGAAAACATTTTTTTAAATGTCCATAAAAATTAAATAGGGGTAGGATTCACATTGTTACCATTTTGGTTCCGAAAATTACCAAACAGATTTTCTATGGTATCCGAATTTACTCTATATGTACATAGTGAATATTCAGGGGATTTATCAATGTCATACCATAACTGTAACAAAGAATTTATAGTAATTTGCCAACCATTTAAAAATTTAATTTGATGTGTAACATCATTACTCACTAATTCACCATTTACAATACTGGTTTCCAAGACACACATACATTTAAAAGCATCTAACATGTATATTAAATGTTGTCTTTGGGAGTTAGTATTTTTAAAAGGTCGATTGAAGTCCTTACTTCCTGTTTTAGGCTTTGAATTTAAAATGTCAAATAATTTGACCATATAATCTATAAACATGACACTAGTTTCAGCAGTATTTGACAATATACCGCCTTCAATACAAGTGCGCATACCGGTTGCTACGGTTGCACTAAAAATTTGACTATCGTACCGCACTTTCATTTTTTGAAAGGGACCAAGATTTATATGTACATAGTTTAATTACATCTGTTAATTTAGGTGCAAGCTATTAAGGCCTTGATCAGATTTATAAAAATTAACTAAATGTTTTTTTTCTGTGATTCCATTAGCAAATGTTAAATGATACTTAAAAAAGTTATTCCTAGTTGATTTTAACAAGTGAGGTTAGTTATTATTTATTTGATCTGCTCGCATTCTTCATGTAAATATTTTCTTAAAAATAAGGACAGAATTTTCAATTATTAAACCTTAAAAAATATTTACTTAGTCACAAAGATCTTCCTTAGAGGACTCCTATTTATAACAACACCACTATTTGTACAGCTTTTAAAACTGGATCTAATATCTTGCGAGGACCTGAATCTTTTAATCTTTAATGCACTGAATGGATACCTATTCACCGTACCTAATTCAACACAGGCATCTATAATATCTTTCATAGTTATCGAAACTTGTATACTTAGTCTTAATAAGTTAAACAGTCTTTGACGTGCTTGAATTTTCGAATTGGTCTTCAAATTGTTTTTTCGTATTCAAGTTGTTTAAATTCTTCAAACAAATCAACACGAAAACTTAAACGTTTAAACTTGTCCTATGTATTCTTTATAATAATTAAATAATTTTAAATTTGGCAATGGGAGACGCACTCAGGAGGTGGAGAGTAGAAGGATAGACGACTCCAGGTGCCAACCCGGTGGAAAGGTGAAATTAATAGTTGAAGAAAGGGTATCAAACCTTACTTGTTGATAAGCCTCATCGTCTGTTTGATGTTTATCTGCCACACGTATTGTTCTCCGTAAGAAACTGAGAATACTGTAACACCTGACAGTCGCCAGCCTAAATGATGTTTGGTCGGGAGATCAAGACTCCCGGAGACTGGCAGCTCGAGTTGGCTGAAGAATCATCGGAAACAATGGTAAGGAGTTTTCCGGAGCAGATCGGTAGAAAAACCGAAGATTTTCAGGTGGAAACGGATGATGCTCCGGTGATAGAGGGAGGTTACCCGGTGGTGTACAGCCCCAGAGCCCCTAGTACCCATATACCCCCAGAACTCTCTCCTTAAGACAGTAAATTCTTTGTTCGAGCTTAATGTATTTATTGTAAATTATTTTAACTTGTTTTCCACGTTGGAGAAGTTTCATCTGATCCTCAATTTTGGCATGTGATTTCTTTAACATAAAAATATATTATAGTATTGAAGGTGCTGTCTGAAATTTGTTTTCAAATATTCGATTTTAAAAAATACCACTATCGCCCTCCTTGCCAAATGAACCAATGTCGACAGGTACGAATTTACAATTTGAAACCACCATTGCCAAAAGTACTATTGAAAAATAATATTAATAATTATTGTTTAAAAGTGGTCCTATATACTTGGGCTTCGGAGTTCGGATACAAATGTGTTTTCCGTCGATGGCCAAAATACAGTTTGGGAAATTTCATTTATGAGAAAACTCTGCCATTTTTTGTTTAAAATCAATATTTTTGTATCAGGTATAAAATTGTCATCAATTTAATTTTTAACGTGTTTTTATGATACTGCAAATAACAATGACTTATGCGATAACCATCTAATGGATTCACCAGTTCAAAATTTCTGGCGAAAAAAAAATTAATTAATATATTAATTACTTTTACCCTATTGATTTATAAAAAAAAATACCATAAAGTAACTGCCAAGTTTCCCGCAGGTGTTATTAATTATTTTACGAATGATAGGTTGTAAGATTAACTGATTTTCTATCAAAGATAATACAAATTCGAATATTTGATAATTTTACGGACAAATTCACAGAATTTGATGTCCTTGATTTTTAAAATGTCTATTTATTAATATTTCATAAGAAC